GGATGCCGGCATCACAGGAACCCAGGAACCCCAACCTGCTACACCACAACGCCAGCCTCTGAAACGTCAGTCTTGAATCCTCACCTTCTCATGATGTGGAGGTGAAGATACCACCTCACCTCTTAGAACTGTTGTGGAGTTAAATGAGACAGTGGGTCCTGCCTGACAGAGGAGGAAAAGGAGGCTCAGACGGGGAACAGGCTTGGCCAGGCACCTGCCTTGCAGGCTCTTTCCTGGAAAGCACTCTCTCCAGGTGCCCAGTTTATTTTATTTTATTTCAATTTTTTTTTTTTGACAGGCAGAGTTAGGGAGAGAGAGACAGAGAGAAAGGTCTTCCTTTTCCATTGGTTCACCCCACAATGGCCGCTCCAGCCGGTGTTGTGCCAATCCGAAGCCAGGAGCCAGGTGCTTCTCCACGCAGTCAGCTCAGGGTCACACAGTGGTCGCACATGGAGCCTGGATTTAAACTGGGCACCTGGCCGGCGCCACGGCTCACTTGGCTAATCCTCCTCCTGCGGCGCTGGCATCCCAGGTTCTAGTCCCGGTTGCTCCTCTTCCATTCCAGCTCTCTTGCTGTGGCCCGGGAAGGCAGTGGAGGATGGCCCCTGCCACCCATGTGAGAGACCCTGATGGAGTTCCTGGCTCCTGGCTTTGGCCTGGCCTAACCCTGACTGTTGCAGGCATTTGGGGAGTGAAGGGAAGGTCTCTCTCTCTCTTCAACCTCCCCCACCCCGTCACTCTGCCTTTCAAGTAAATAAATCTTAAAAAATATCCCCAGGCATTGCCGAGGGGGCAAAATTATCCCCAGCTGAGAACCTCTGGGGTAAAATCCTCAGACCAGGTCCTGTAATACAGCAGCCAGGTAAGGCAGACTGGATCCCACCAGGGCTGTAGAGCTGCCAGCCAGAGGTGAAAGATGGGTGTCCCTGCCACAGGGACACCACAGGCTGTGGACACACAGAAGCAAGGTTGATTTAGGGCAAGGAGAGAGAGGGAGGGAGAATGAAAGAGAGACAGAGAGATGGACACCCAGAAACAGAGACACAGACAGGTAGAGAGAAATACCTGGAGACACAGGGTGAAGACAACGATGGCAGGGATGTGTGTGTGTGTGTGTGTGTGTGTGTGTGTGTGAGAGAGAGAGAGAGAGAGAGAAGACAGGGACATAAAGATGCAGAAAGTGTGAGCAAAAGAAAAAGCCAGACTCCAGGGGCCCAGGTGATGGAGATGCAGGGTGAGAGCCCCTGATCCCCAAACAGATGCAAACTGGGGAGCTGGAAACAAAGGCGAGAGAGCTGCAGAGAGGGACCGTGTCTCGGAGCGCTCAAGAGGCAGTGATTTTACAACCGACGCAGAGAAAAGGGGCCAGAGACGGCGAGAGTGCCCTGAAATCGCAGGAGACAGGACAGAGGCACCCAGAGAAGCCAGAGTAGGAGAGAGAGGCCCGGAGCCTCAGGTTACCACCTCTCCTCCATGCCCCAGAGCTGTGTGCATGTGTGTGTGTGTGTGTGTGTGTGTGCACGTGTACGTGTTTATGTCCTGCCTCCTACAGGTGCGGGCCGGTGGTGTGTGTGTGCTTTTGTCATGCCTCCTGCAGGTGCGGGCCAGCGTCTCAGAGTCTGGCTGGCGCTTGCGTGCACGTTCATGCATTCAGTCCCTGGCGGGGTGCCTGTGGGATGCCAGGCTCAGCTGCGGGCTACCGTCATGGTGGACGGGCTCACTCGCGGAAGCTCAGTGTCTGTGAGCGAGAAAGACAATGAGCAAACACCAGAGCTGCGCAGAGATTTAAAACAGGGTCACGTGACAGGGAAGACGTGGGGAGCTGCCTGGAGAAACGAGGGAAGCCCAGAGACACAGAGATGCACTCCTCAAAGAGATGAGAGGGATGATGGTGGTCAGGGAAGGGCCCTTGGAGGCGGTGACTCAGCAGGGGAGCCCTGGACATGAAAGAGGCAAACCTTTCCAGGCAGAGGGAAGAGCAGATGGGAAAGGGACGGCCGATGTGATGAATTGAGGGCTGAGAGAGGGGCGGGCAGGAAGGCAGGGGCCAGGTCCTGCAGGGCTTGGCGAGGCCGAGGGGAGGATTTTGTGTTTTATTCTGGGTGTCATGAGAACTGGAAGACTGAAGGAGGAGAGGGAAGTGAACTGATTCAGGCTGAAAAATGCTTCAGTGGCTGCCGGGTGGGGAGCAGGGGTGTTGACGCCCAGGCTGCGGGCGGCTCAGTGAGGGGGTTCCGGGTTCTTTCTGCAGCCTCAGCGGAGGGGAGGAAGATGATGGGGGCTTGGGCAAGCAGGGAGAAGTGGATGAATGTGAGTCATGTTTGGGGATCGGAGGGACAGAACGACCCAAAGCAGGGCAGGGAAGGGGGCCCAGCCGAGGGCGTGGCCTGAGCACCTGAATGAATTATGGTGACATTTACCAGATCTGCAGGAAGTAATCACTCCTATGATGTCTGTCTGTGTGTGCACACCTGTGTGCATGTACCCCAGGGCCTGGGTGTGCACGTGAGCAGGTGCCGCATTCATCCTGCAAGCCGAAGACATTCAGACCACCTTTGCCTGCCTGCGTGGGGGCTCGGGGCCTATCCTGGCTCATCTGGCTCTGCTCTGGGCCCTCCCCCAGCCCCAGGGGCTGCTCCTGCCAGATGGGGATTCCCCAGTGGGCAGCTAGGGTGATGGGAGGCCCTGGGCACCGCCAACATCTGGGCACATTCCCGGGCCCAGGAGGCCTTGGTAGTCCCACCCGGCAGCGGCAGGCAGGCTCCGGGGCAGCTGGTGGCGATTAGCAGCGTTGATTACCTCGTGGCGATGCCATCTGGGGTGAGGGCACTGAGCCCAGCCCCACGGGATACCCAGCTTGCTGGCACGCAAGGCTTCCTGAGGCTGAATGCATGTGAATATATCAGCCTCGCCGAGTGCAGGGACACGTGCCCCCGTGCCCGTGTGTGCGTCTCTGAGCGCGTGTGGCTACCTGTGTCTGTGGGTGCACGTGTATGTGCCGCGGGGCTGCAGGCTCCTCTGTGTGTGAGTGCACACCTGTGTTCTTTGTTTCTATGTATACGTGTGCATGTCTGGGTGAACATGCATGTGACTGCATGTGCACATGTAAGTACCGGCAGTGCTCAGAAGCCTGCCCCCATCAGTGCTGGGTTTGCCCTGGGATCTCCTTCTGTGGCTTAGATGAGCTTAGGCTCCTGTATGTGGTCTTGTAGATGTGGCTGTGGAGGGGCAGCGTGTGTGCCCGGTTCTGGGGTCAGGCGTGTCTGTGTGAACATGAGTGCACGTGTGCAGGTGGAGTCTGCACACCCCAGTGCAGACAGAGCGTACCTGACTGCGGGCTTCTGGGTGCAGCCAGGTGTGGCCGGGGGCGGAAGGGGCACAGGCACACCTCCAGACTGCATCCGTGACAGTGGCTCTGGGTAGAGCATGTGTCCTAGGCTTGGCTGTTCTTGTGAGCACCCTTGGGTGCTATGGGAAGGCATTTAGACTCCTCCTTCCAAGGTTCCCTGCCAGCCACGTGCGAGTGGGGGAAGGGTGGGAGAGGCCAGGATAGCCCAACAGGCCACTGGACCTGTGCTGAGTCTCCACTCTGCCGGTGGCTGTGTGCGACCCTGGGCAGCCGTGGCCTCCTATCTGCTCTAGGCTTCCCTCACTGAGATGGGAATGAGGCGAGAACGCTGCTTCCCGGGGTGGTGGGGGGGAGGTGGCGGTGGGGAAGAGACGATCACACATGTGAGTTCTTAGGACAGAGCCTGACCTATTTGTCCCCAGTGCCCCCCTCCATGCCCCGCGGACCGGCGAACCCCACCCCCTGCACTTCCTGCCTGCTGAGCTCAGCGTTTCCCAGGCCCCGCCACAGCATCTGGGCCGGCTCTGCGCGGGGACCACAGTGGGGCGCCTCCGTGGCAGTGGCGTGGTTGGGGTTTCCACTGACTCAGCGCTTCTGGGTCTGGAGGAGGAAACCCCAGACCTGCCCCCCGACCCCATTTGGGTTAGATGGAGCCACAGGGCTGGGTGACAGGAAGCACCCCCCCCCACCCCCACAACAATCAAGGCACTCAGTTACTCCCTGGGTGACCCCCAAACCCATTTCTACCCCTCAGCAGCTGCCTGAGCCTGCATTGCTGGGGTGTCTCAGCCTTGGTGCCTCCAAGGGGGAAGCCCCCTCCCGGGGGAGGTCACCAAGCCCCTGCCTCTGGACACCACCTGTGGCTTCTCCCTTGGAAGCCTGATCTTCTGTCCTGCCTCAACTGCTCTTGCCTGCCTGGACCTCGTATAAGGCAACCTCCTCCCCATCACCAGGCTGCCCCAGCCTGGCCCTCTCCCCACGCCCCACCTGGGAGCACCAGAATAATGATAATTTACTGAGCCCTCTTCCATGCCGGACAGTGTCTGAGCGTTTCCACAGACCCTCACTTGCTTCCTGCTCACAGCAGAGGTGTGAGGCCCGCATGCTCCCAGCCCACAGATGAGAAAGTAGAGTTGCACTCAGAGCTGGGCTGGAGGCAGGCACCGGGAGGTGAGCCCTCCTAAAGCTCGTGGAGTCAGGGGGAATAAGGGGCCTTGCTCGGCGCCACTGCTCTGGGAGGGAGGCCAGAGCACAGGGCTTGCTTTAGCTCCCCTCTCTCCCAGCCCTAGTGCAGACAGACAGAGGGACAGGCTGCCCAGGAATGCTAGGCCGAGAAGCTGGAAAAAGCTGACCGCTGAGCCTCGGCTGGCAGCCACGTCACCAGTTCCTTGGACTCTGGGAGGAGGGTCCCTACCCGCCTCCCCCAGCCTTCTGGGGGCCCAGCCAAGGCAGGGGAACAGGGGCGGGTGGGGGGGGGTTGGGTACCGGGAAGGCTCTTTAAGCTCCAGGCCCAGCTCTCAGAGCGCCAGACCCCCGCCTGCCCCCCGCGCAGGAACCCCCTTCCGGGGCAGCTCCGGGCACGCAAGGTCCCGCCTAGCGCAGCGCGCTGCTCGCTCACCTGGCGGGGAAGCGGCAGGGGCGGGCCTGGGCTCCCGGCCAGGCCAGGAGCGGGACTGCGCGTCGGTCCGGCGGTCCAGCCGCCTCTCCCGCTGCCGCCGGGGCCCCTCCCGGCCTCCCGCCTCTCCGGCCTGGCGGGCGGGCCCAGCTGTGTTCCATTAGACGCCCTGGCAGGCCCCCAGCCCCCTGGAGCCGCCCCTCTTCCCCCACCCGGAGTGGCCGCAGTCCCAGGCAGGCAGGCAGGCAGGCAGGCGTGCGCCCCGGCGGCGGCGGCACTCAGCCCCGGGAGCTCCGGGGCCGGCGCGGGAAGCTGGGGACCCGCGGGGCCGGCAGCCAGGAGAGATCGAGGACCCCACCAGGGGGCCTGAGGAAGCAAGGCCCTGCTTGCCTTGGCTGGCTGCCTGCCTGAGGCTGCCCGGACTGCTCAGGGAGGTGAGGGCATCCCTTACCACTGGTAAGTGGGGGTGCAGCGGGCTGCCTTGGGGCTCTGGGCTGAAAGGCCCTTTCTGCTCCCGACTTGCTGTGTGACCTGCGGCAAGTGGCGTCCCCTCTCTGGGCCTCGGTCATCTTCTCTGCAGTGGCATGAACTCTAAACTCCATCCTGGTTCTGCCTCTCCCGGCCCCCGAATCCGCGCTGCTGTGTTAGGGCCGTGTCTCTGGCAGCTTCTCTCCCTCGCGTCCTGTGGCCCTCCCCTCTGGCTGAGGCCTGGGCAGTGGAGGCCAGAGATCCGGAGGAGCCGGGAAGAGCACATTTGTGCTCACGCCTCTGCAGGCCCTCGCATGTGTGGAGTGGCCGGCCTTCCATTGGCTGGCAGCAAGGGCAGAGCAGGATGGGTTTTGAGAGATGGGAAGTGTGCACCTTTAGGATGAGGGTGAATGGGGTGAGGGCACGGTTCTGTCCCAGGAAGAAGGAGGCTGAAGTCCTGTCTCCAAATCTACTGGGGTGAGGGGACCCTTCTGTTCTCACTCACTATCCATGATAGTGGGGTGTGCGGCATAGGATTCCATTACAGTTGGAAGGAATGAGGTCAGACTCACGTAAGAACTTCCCAGCAGGAAGGCCTACTGGAGGGGTGGTCATTAGCTGGCTGTGTGTGTGTGTGTGTGCAGGCTGGTGTGGCTGGGCAGACCAGCGAGCATGCCTGTGTGTGCGTGGGCTTTTGTGCGCATACCAGTACCGTGTGTGTGTCCGCTTATCCATGTGCCTGTGCCTCCACACGTGCTGTGCACGCACACACGTGGCTCTGTGCGCGCCCGAGCTGCCTGTCCGGAGGGGGCCGGATGATATACAGCGCTGCTGGCCGCATGCAGAGCCTGCATTGATTTATCTGGGCCCATCCATCAGGGTTTCATAAAACTAAAAGACGAGCATCCATCAGTAGGAAAGGTTGGCAACAAGATCGCGAGCCCTGGCGACCTGCTCTCCCGCCCACCGCCTCCATGGGGGGAGCTTCCTGGCCCACACGCAGACCTGTGAGACCTGCCAGGAGCCTCGGCCCCTGACCTCGCGGGTGCCTGCAGGGCTGCCTTGGCAGAGCCCAGTGCAGCTAGCCAGATACGAGGCTGGTCTACACTAGCACAGAGCGCAACTTATTAAAATACTGAAATGCTTCCCATTCTCAAGCCCCAGCATGATCCTGACTTCTCTGGGCTTCTAGAACTCTCTCGACTGCTCCTTCATCCAGCCACTGGCACGGTCAGGTGCTGCCTGGCCCCCGTCTGGATGCTCTGGCCAGCACTCTGCCCTGCTGGTCCATGTCTGTGCCATACCAGTGGTTAAATATTTTGAATATCGCCCCCGCGCAGATCCTAGCTCAAAGCCTGTGGCTGGGGCCCTGAGAGGGGCTGATGCCCGGCCAGACCGCCCGCCACCGCAGTCCCAGTGCCTGGGCCCCATGCGCTGGCTGCCGCTTGCCCACGTGTAAGCCGTGCTGTGTCAACTCAGGATCCCGTCTTCCCGGTCTCTGGTTTTCAGGTGCTGTGGCTGTGGCTCATCTCTCTGGACCAAGATGTGGGTATCTTGGGCTCCTGGCCTCTGGCTGCTCGGCCTCTGGGCCACCTTCAGCCATGGAGCAAACACAGGTGAGATGGCATAGGGAGGGTCAGGATCCCCCAGGCCTGCAGCTGGCTCCTGGCGATGCCGGAGTCCTTATGCATATGTGACCATGTGCATGCCAGTCATGGGGGCCCTAGGGGAGAGTCTAGGGGCTGGGCCCAGGATAGCCTGCGGTGCTGGCACCTGTGTGAGGTGAGCGGGAGAGTGTGTGTGTGCATGTGCGTGTTTGTGCCCTGAGCATGGCTGTGTTTGCACTCAGAGTTACTCTGTTCGTATTCCTGTGTCCCTGTGTGTGGGAGAACAGCTTCCTCCCCGCTCCGTCACCCACCCTGTGCTCACATGCTGGGAAGGCCTCTGGGGGCGGGGCAGGAACGGCAGTGCGTTCTTCCTGCTGAAGATGCCCGAGGCCTTGGATCCTTTGCGCGGGGGAGAAGCTGTCCTGCAGCCCTGTCCTCCTCCTGTGCTGATCTGGATCTCTGACAAAGGCCTGCCCGAGGCCCGAAGGCTGGCTGGGACTAAGGGTGCAGCTTTCTAGGGCTCAAAGCCAGGGGAAGTTGATCGGGCAACTTGCCCAGCCTCACTGGGTGCCCTCTGGGCTGGGTAGCACCCTGCCTAGCCAAGTGGAAACAGAACTTCTGGAACCCAGATCCAGCTGGGGAGTGGGGGAGGGGGCAGGAGGAGCCGGGTGCTGAAGCGAGAGGGATTGTGCGCTGGGGGTGAGCGTGCCTGCCCGGCGGCTGTGTGTGCCTGCCCTGCGTGCACGTATCATTCCCTGCGTGTGTGCTCGTGAGCCTTGCTCTCCTCTCCCGCTCCAGGTCCCCTGAGGGGGCTGGGGCAGAGAATTTCCACATCTGTAAGGAATCTGGGCCCGGTGCCAAGGGGTGAGTCACCCATCGTGCTGTGCTGGGGAAGACAGTGATGGTCTTTCTGGCCAGACCAGAGGGAGGGAGGCTGCAGTGGGGTCGCTGAGTTCAGGGACCCAGGGCTCCTGCCAGCCAGGCTTGCCAGGGAGTGGAACGCCAGGTTCTAGGGGCAGTCTTCGATGTCTCGTCCCGCTGCCCCATCTGCGTTGCTAGGATGGCCTTTCCAAGTCCCCCCTCTGTCTCTGCTGCCACAGCACCTCCCTCAATACTTCCGCTCAGCCAGTCCCAGGCAGAGGGAGGCCCATGGCTGCCCACCTGGCCCTTCAGGGCTTTGGAGACCTGAATTCAACCATCCTCTTTAGGAGCCCTTATTCCCTTAATGTACCCTGCCTGGAGCCCCAAGTTCCTCCTGATGGTGCCCTGGAGCTTGGGGTCCCCTCAGACCCTCCATCTCATATCTCACAAGACGGTGACCCAGGTGAAAAGCCATTCTGTTGGCTTAGCTTTTATCTGGCCTGCTTGTCTGCTTTGGTTGTGGGACGTGGGAACCCACCCATTGCTGAGGACATGTGTACCAGCTGCATGTGACATCCCTCATGGCATGGCTGTCCACAACTCATGCACATGTGGGCACACGCATGCCATTGTACATGCCTGACACAAGGCGTGCATGACCCTGACGGTTCCCCACCTGCCCTGGGTGGGCATGATGGCGAGAACACGCGCGCACACACACGCAGCTCCCCAGCGTGGCCCTCCGGGGCTGCCCAGGGTATCTTTTATTCTTTGCTGGCCTGGCCCCTTGGAGCACTGGGAGATTTGACTTTCTCGAGTTCTGATTCTGCTTGGCTGTTGACTCATTTCTTGGCCCGGGGTCTCAGCCTCTGGGCCTCAGTCTTCCGGACTATATGCTGGGGCAGAGGGTGGGGGTCGCCTTGGTTCCCGGGGCAGCTGGGATTCAGAAGGCACGTGGTGCAGGCAGCCTTGAGGCAGGTCCTGGCTATGGGTCCACAACAAGGTGCTACGCACTTGCTCCTCCCCAGCGTTCCCAAGAGCCCAGCCATGCAACTCCCTTGGCCAGAGCCGCTTAATGCCTGGCTCCCCATTCCCTTCCAGGGGGGCAGTGCCCACCTTCCCAGCAAGAAGGCCTCAAGTTGGAACACAGCAGCGATCCGTCCGCCAACGTGACCGGTGAGTACCTGTCTGTCCTGCCGGCCCCTCTTCTGGGCGTCTGCACCCTCTCCTCGCCTGCTCAGCTGAGCTGTGCACTGTCTCCCCTAAAGGCTTCAACCTCATCCGCCGACTCAGCCTCCTGAAGACGTCCGCCATCAAGAAGATCCGCAACCCTAAGGGGCCTCTCATCCTGCGGCTGGGGGCGGCCCCGCTGACCCAGCCCACACGGTAAAGGCCCCAGGGTGACGGCCAGGATCCCTGCTGCAGTCAGCCCCCCCAGCGACTCTGGATGTGGGGCCCCAGCTGGGAGCCCCGTCTGCGGGGCATTTCATACCTACCCCTGGGCCTTCAGGCTGCTCAGAGACAGGGCACATGACAGCCCCACTCCCAGATCTCCCCCAGCTCGGCTCACACTGGGGGCAGGGACAGGCCTGTACCCTAAGGGCACCCCAAGAACTCCAGGATGGGGGCGGAACCTGGCAAGAGGGGTGTGTGTGTGTGTGTGTGTCCACCCTGTGAAGTCCAGACTCCCACACATCCCCGGGTGGTCCGGCCCCTGCTTGTGTCTCAGGCTTCAGTTCTTGCTTGCTGCTCTGGTCTTCTTCAGCATCCCGCCTCCCACCCCCAGTCAGCCCCTCCGGGGAGTCTGGTTCCTTGCAGGTTGCACAGAGCGGTCATTCTGGGCCTTCTTGGTGTGTGGTCCACCCACACCCCCATCCGACTGGACACGCCAAGGGGGCAGGCATCTCCCCCACTGTGATCCCCAGCAGCCAGGCACCTGATGAACGTGTAGAGAATGAATGAGTGGATCCGAGAGGTCTTAGAAAGCTCACGGGGCTGGCCTCTGGTGGAAAAACGGTGCACGGATTTCAAAATGTTGATACTGAGATCAACTTACCTTTGCACTCCAGGTCCCGTGAGCTTCTGGCAGCACCCTCCTGTGGGGCTAGAAGTCTGACCTGTGTGTGCCTGGGGCAGGCTCCCTAGATGGAGAGCCCAGGTGGGCGGCAGTGGGGGCCCTCACACCCGAGCCTCATGGCACCTTCTCTGCTCCATCCCCAGCCGAGTGTTCCCTCGGGGCTTCCCGGAGGAGTTTGCGTTGGTGCTGACCCTGCTGCTGAAGAAACACACTCCCCAGAGCACGTGGTACTTGTTTCAAGTGACTGATGGAGATGGGTACCCGCAGGTGAGCCCCACGCCCGACCTCTTTCCCAGCTGTGATTTCTGGGGCCTCCCTGCGCCATCCCCAACCCATCAACACCTGACCCCAGCCAGCTTTCTTCGCTGAGTCTGCATGTCCCCTCCTGAGCACTGAGCTCCAAGGCCTTTGAGTTTGGAGCCCTGGAGCTCTGAATCCGCTCTTTCCTCTTTCCCAATCCCATGCAGATTTCCCTGGAAGTCAACAGCCAGGAGCGGAGCCTGGAGCTCCGGGCCCAGGGCCAAGATGGCGACTTCATGTCCTGCATTTTCCCAGTGCCCCAGCTCTTTGACCTGCGCTGGCACAAACTGATGCTGAGCGTGGCTGGACGCGTGGCCTCCGTGCACGTGGACTGCGTCTCCGCCTCCTCCCAGCCCCTGGGGCCCTGGCGACCTGTGCGGCCGCTGGGCCACGTGTTCCTGGGTTTAGACGCTGAGCAGGGCAAGCCCGTCTCGGTGAGTCGAGGCTGGGTCCTGGCCTCTGCTTGCACCCCTGGCCTCTGTATGTCACCAGGCCCTCCCCTTGCTCAGAATCCTCCTTAGCTCCCCACTGGCCTCCAGACCCAGCCTAAATGTGCTAAGCTGGCATTCAAGGCCCTTCATGAACTGTGTGTGTCCTCTTCCTTTATGTCTCTCCTTTCATCCCTGGTCAAGCTCCCCCCCCCCCCCCCCCGCCCCTGCCTCCGCTGCTACCTCCGCCTGAACCACCTTTCCTTGTGTTGTCATCTGTGGAATATTTACTGTCTCTTCCAGGCCCAGCCTGTGTGGACTCTGCTCCCTCCTTGCTCCTCTGGGCCTCCTCTCCCTCTCCCTGCATGTGTGTTTGGTGACAGCTATATTTTGAAAACAAAATATTTATTTATTTGAAAGGCAGAGTTACAGGGGGAGCGGGGAAGAGAGAGAGGAGAAAGATCTTCCATCTGCTGGTTTACTCCCCACATAGCCGCAACAGCCAGGACTGGGCCAGGTCAAAGGCAGGAACCAGGAGCTTCATCAGCGTCCCCCACATGGGTACAGGGGCTCAAGGACTTGGGCCATCTGCTGCTGCTTTCCCAGGCACATCAGCAGGGAGCTGGATAGGAAGTAGAGCAGCCAGGACTTGAACTGGTGTCCGCATGGGATGGCGGCTTTACCTGCTGCTCCACACGCTGGCCCCAACAGCTCTATCCCTGAGAGTCTCCCAGGCAGACTGGAAGCGCCGCAGGTCCAACCCTGCAGGGACGTCTCTGCCTCCCTGGAGGCCCAGGCACTGAGCTGTTGGAGCACGTGAAAGTGACCTGTGTTGTCCCCTGCAGTTTGACCTTCAACAGGCGCACATCTACTGTGACCCGGAGCTCGTGCTGGAGGAGGGCTGCTGTGAGATCCTCCCTGGAGGGGTGAGTGGCTTGGCCCTAGCACAGCTGATGGGGCTCGAGGCACTGCCCAGGCGCACTGTGCTGGCCTTGGGGGTCTGGGAGTGAGTGTCCGGGAGTCTTGGGGCAAGTCTGACCCTGGCCCTTCCCCTATACCAAACAGTGCCCCCCAGAGACCTCCAAGGCCCGTCGGGACACCCAGAATAATGAGCTCATCGAGATCAATCCGCAGACGGAAGGCAAAGTCTACACACGCTGCTTCTGCCTTGAGGAACCTCAGAACAGTAAGGTAGGTGAGCAGGGCCGGCAGACGTGGACACAGGCGGGCACCGGAGAGACTGCCCCTCCCCGTGACCTGACTGTGAGGTCTGCCACCAGGGTCAGGTGGCCATGTGCCCAGGGCAGGAAGGGCACAGGAAGCCCCACCTCTTTGCATACCATCCCAAAAGACTCAGGAAGGCTGACACAGCCCAGTGAGTGACCCTGTGCCCGCCCACTGCTGGCATTGAGAGTTAAGCCCAGACCCTCACCAGTGCCACCCAGAAAATTCTGATGAGGACAGGACCAGGCTTGCTCCCCAATGCAGGTTCTCCGAGACAGGGACATCCTGGGGTCAGAGGCCAGGTCCCACTGCTTCCCCCAGGGCTGGCTCCTTCTCCAGAATGCAGTCCTGGTCAATGCCAAGCTGTTTCTCTGCCCAGCACCATGGCCAGCTGCCCTCCTAGGTTCTTTGGAGGTGGCAGGGAAGCCCAATTCCTCCCTTAGCCCCGCCCCCTGGCTGGGCAGTGTCCCTGCCCTCCTGGGCATCATGCCTGGCCTTGGCCGCCGGAACACAGGAGCCCATTGATTCATGGTCTTGTTTTCTCCGACATCACGTGGGTAGGGAAAGAGAAGGGGCGCCGGCGAGGGAGGCCTCCGGGGTCTGGGCAGGCCCTTGATGTCCTAGGAGGTGCCAGATTCCAGGTTGAGGGTATTCCTGGGGTCCTTGCCTCCACCTGGGTGCCAGCGTGGGCCCCAGAACTGCTCCCTGCCCAAGAGTTTTCCTCTGCTTCCTCTGCCTAGGTGGATGCCCAGCTGACGGGAAGAATCAGCCCGAAGGCAGACAGGGGAGCAAAGGTAGAGGTGGTAGGCGGGGGGGAGGGGCATGCGGTGCCCTCAGTCTGCCCTGTGTGCCCTCTGTAAACCCCCAGAGGAGACACTCCACCCCCACTCTCCTCCTGCCGGGCCCCGCTCCTGGACAGAGCTTAGGACTTGTAGGTGCCAGCCCTGAGAGGGAGGGCAGATGGGGCAGGCACTCTAGCATGCCCACGCCTGGTTCTTGGGCAGGGGATGTTGGCAGCAGAGTTTGGTCCCTGAGTTCCATGCCCCTCCCTGCTTCCCAGGTCCATCGGGAGACAGCAGCCGACGAGGTGAGCAGGCATTTGGATTGGCAAAGGCCTTTGGACAAGGCTTCGGGCACAGAGGCTGGGCATGGGGCTGCTGGATGACTACACAGCTGCTGGCCTTTACTGGGGCCCATGCCTGGGCCCTGCCTGCCTACTGCCTCTCCTTGGGGTGCACGAGGTAGCCCTGGGGACACTATTGCTGAGTTGGCAGCAAATGACCATGGGCATCGTGGAGGCCTTGGCCACAGGTCCCCTAATTCTGGGTCTTACCTGCTAGTCTTGGCTGGGCTTCCATTTCCTGGTCTGAAGAAATGGCTGTGGATCGGGGCTGGTGGGAAGGGAAGGGCGAGGTGTGGTTTCCGGGATGCCCATCTCCGTGTCGCTCTCAGGTTCCACCCAGAAGTGTGATGTTCTCTAGGCTTGGGGCGTGCGTGTGTGTGCATGTGTGCCTCTGTGTGTGCATGTGTGCCTCTGTGTGTGCATGTGTGCCTCTGTGGGTGCGTGTGTGCCTCTGTGTGTGCGTGTGTTGGGTGGGGATGGGGGTGGAAGAAGGGTCCTGGGGCTCAGAATTGACCTTCTGGACTATTCTTGCCTTTCAGTGCCCACCCTGTGACAAGGGTACTGGAGAGAGCAATGTGAGTGAACGGAGCATGGGCCGGGTGGGGTGGGCGAGGGCTGGGAGTGGGTGTTGCCTGGAGTTGGCTGGGCAGCTTCCTGGTTGAGGACAAGCGGGTCTTTGTGCATTTCTACTCCCTCTCTGCCCATCTCCCAGAGCTAAGCCTGCCCCCACACCCACCTCCCCAAGTCCTGTGATCCAGCGATGCACTGGGCCCCAGGGTGGGCTGGGCACAGGGGCAGCTGGTGGGGTCAGGCCCTCGGTTGCTGAGCCCAGCTTTGCACTCCTACGCGATCTGAGCCTGCTATGCTGGAACAGCCTCGCAAGTCATCTTGCAGGCCTGGAGAGCAGGGAGGGTGGGGCGGGGGTCACAGAGCCCAACACCAGCCCCCGCAGCCAAGTGGACACAGGACCTGACACAGGACACAGGACCTGTCCCTCGCCAGTTGGACCAGGCTCAGGCTCCCTCTAAGGGTCCAGAAAGACAATGGGGGAGGGACCTAGTGAGAGCCCAGCTGGCACCCAGCTGGCACTACCTCTTCCGTGGGCAGCGTGAGTCACTACTTTCCCACGACCTGGGCGCTTCTCTCGCCCTTGACTTTGGGGTACATCAGGAAGTACCCCCTCTGCTACCTGTCCCGCTTTTGATCCAGCCCAAATCTGGTAAGGCATCTGATGGTCCCCAGAGGTAAGGGGTTACCATGGCAACCAAGCAGCCATGTTATCCTAGCAACAGGAAGGGGGTGTGGGGAGGAGGGAGCTAGCTAAAACCAGGCAGATTAGAGAAAGTAGATTGGATACCTTGGCAAGTTTCACTGCCTTCGGAATAGAGTCAGCAGACAAGATGGCCTGGGACGCAGAGCAGGGGCTGGGATTCAGGTTGGCAGTCCTACCACCATACTGTGCTGCGCTGGCTGAGCTGCTTGCCCTGGTTTCTTCTCCCTGCCTGAGGTGTGATGCTCTCTCCTCTGTCCCCTCAGGTCACTCTTGGGCCCTCCGGCCCCAAGGGAGGGAAAGGTGAGCAGGGCCCGCCAGGCCCATCAGGCCCCAAGGGAGAGAAAGGAGCACGGGTAAGTGCCCTGGCTCTTCCCCGCTCCTGCCAGCCCCTTCCCAGCTGTGCCCTGGGAGCTGGGATGAGGGCGGGGTCTTCCTGGGGGTTCCTATGCAAAGCCTCTGTTTTCCAGGGGCACATGGGACAACAGATCTAGGAGATGTCCCCAGAAGGCCCCACCCCTGACCCTTGCTCTCCACCCCCCACCCCCAGGGCAATGACTGTGTTCGAGTCTCCCCCGATGCCCCGCTTCAGGTAAGACAGGTGACAGCGCTTTGGGGCCAGTAGGGGGCAGCCCCTCTGCAGCCCATGGGGTGCCCCTGTGCCCCTTTCAGCGCTGTCTCCCTGTTTAGTGTGCAGAAGGCCCAAAAGGAGAGAAGGGCGCAGCAGGAGCCGTGGTGAGTGTGCACCAGACAGAGGGCGGGCTGCAGGGTGCTGGCCCAGCCTCGCCTTCCTCCCTCACCCCTTCTTTATGTCTCCTCCTCTCAGGGACCCTCAGGACCCCCAGGATCAACAGGCCAGAAGGTACAGGCCTGGATTTGGAGGGGTGGAGGTCCGTGAGCCCAGTGGGCATGCAGAGGGCCAGCGTCCCGGGTCTTCCAGGCTGGCGGTGGCAGTGGCAGAGTGGCATTGCCCCCACCTCTCCCCCCTGGTCATCCTGCCTTGTCCCAATGCCCCCAGATCTAGAGGTTTGTAAGTGTCACCGACTCCTGGGGTGGCTTGTCTGCTTGGGAAATTCTTCCTGTTGTCTGTCCCACTGTGGTGACTAAAGCCATTCAGAGACCAGGGTTCTAGGAGGTGGCTCTCCCTCCCAGACACAGCTCTCCAGTCCCTTCTGTCTGCCCCACTCACTCTGCCTCTTCCCTCCCCAGGGTCAGAAAGGAGAGAAGGGGGACGGAGGCATCAAGGGCCTGCCTGGAAAACCGGGCCGAGACGTAGGTTCCTGGGCCCCTGCTCTGTGCTGGGACTGAACCCTGGGGACCCATCCCCTACCACCGCTTGCCAGGGAGGGGAGGGGCTGAGCCCTGGGAGGCACAGCAAGAGGGGGCAGAACAGGACCTGGACCCCAGGTCTCCTGAGCCCCAGCCTCAGAGCCCCCGCCTATCTGATGTCCTGGGACATGGGGAGCGGCCTGGCTTGGGGAGGGGCAGTGAGAGTGGCACATGGGATAGTTCCTGTCCCCAGGGGGGAGATGCCAGGCCTTGGGGCCATTCTTACCCCCTACCTGCTTCCACACAGGGCCGACCGGGAGAGATCTGTGTCATTGGGCCCAAAGGGCAGAAGGTGAGCAGTGGGTCTGTTGGGGGGCAGCGTGGGGGCAGGGCAGAGCCACAGCTCTCACCTCACCCCCTTGTGTCTGTACCAGGGAGACCCTGGCTTTGTGGGGCCTGAGGGGCTGGCAGGAGAGCCCGGGCCCCCCGGCCTCCCTGGGCCGCCTGGGATAGGACTGCCGGGGACCCCGGTGAGTGCTCCCTTGTCTCACCTCTTGTCTTTGGCTGGGGCTGGGCAGAAGAGGCTATGTCTTGGGGGTTGTGGCTGGAGGCGGGGGGGGGGGGGGGTGGTTGGGGTAGACGGGCTTGCCAGGCCACAGGGAGAGGTCCCTGGGCAACCTTTTCTGACCCTGTTTCTGCCCTCAGGGGGATCCAGGTGGCCCACCAGGCCCTAAGGGGAACAAGGTGAGCACAGGTGCGGGGCGGGCACAGAGGGGCTCTCTGCTTGGCAGAAGAGAAGAGCAGACAAAGCCTGGCCCAGCGGAGAGGCCGGTGTTGGCTCAGCCAGGCCAGGGTGGGGTCCGTCCCTGTCCCCGTGCTTGAAAGATGGGGGCTGGGTAGGCCCAGGCTGGTCCAGACCACGTGGCCTTCCCTGGAGGGCCCTGGATAAGCAGGGAGCCATGGGAGTGACCATCTCTGTCTGTGGTTCCCCTGATAACCTCTGACCTGCTGCACCAGGGATGGGGCACCCCCAGGCAGCACTTCCTCCCGTCTTTTTGCAAGCCAGGGGGCTCGGGTTAGACATGGAGAAGGACAGGCAGCAGGAAGGGAAAGTTAACCGACCAAATGGATCAAATGGGGGCGGAAGGGTGGAGGTGATTGTCCCTCCCACCAGAAAGAGGATGGGTGGAGAAGGGTGGTGGTCACATCAGCCAGGCCTCCCCCTTCACCTTCCTTCTGACCCCAGGGCAGCCCCGGAGTGCCAGGAAGGGAAGGCCCTGGCGGGAAACCCGTGAGTAAGCTCGATCTGGTCGGTGAGGGGTGGGGATCTTGTCCACCAAACCTGTGTCTGTTCCCCTGAGGCCTCCAGAGAGGTGACCTCGGGCCTCGGGCCCCTCTCAGCCCCCCAGACCCTCTGCCCCCCAGCCCCTCTGCCCTGGCACTAATGCCCTCTGCTTCTTCTCCCACAGGGGAAGCCAGGGGTGCCAGGGATGAAGGGGCAGAAGGTGAGTCCCAGGCCTGGTTGGCTCCAGTGGGATGGGAAGGGAGCCCCTCTCTGTGGGGCTCACGGAGGAGTGCTGGGTCTTTCCCAGAGGGCCCCTCGCTCCTTCCATATCCCCAGGGACAATGTCTGTGATCAGTGGATAAAGAGCCCGGCTTGAGGTTAGCTGGGGTCACATCCTGCCCGTACCACATACGTGGTTATGAACGCAGCAACCCCATCAGCTCTCAGCCCAAGACCCCAGTCTGTCCCCCAACACAGTGGCTTAGGGCCTGCTCTGGCAGGGGAGCTGTGCGATGGCCAGGATTCCCCGCGAGTGGAGGAATCTGCAGTGTCCTGCTGCCCACTTTGGTGCTGGGGGCAAGCACTGGCCCACCCAGGGTCCAGGGCGGCTGCAGGCAAGAGGCCCCTCGCCTCCCCAGGGTCTCACCCAACCTGTCCACTCACAGTCCCCCTTCTGCTAGGGGGAGCCCTGTGAGGTGTGCCCAACGCTGCCTGAAGATTTCCAGAACTTTGTGGGGCTGCCTGGAAAACCAGGGCCCAAGGGAGAACCAGGTGATCCAGCTCCGATCAGGGTGAGTGCCCAGGGACCCCCACAAATCAACCAAACAACCCTTGGTGGGGGGCACAACCATCGAGAGGAATGGGGCAGAGGGGCTGAGTTCTCCTGGCCACAGAGATTGTGGACAGAGGGTCAGGCTGGGGTCTGGACCATAGAGCTCAGGGCCAGGCTAGAGTGCCGCCCGAGGTCTCCATGGCAACCTCCCACAGCTCTCCAAGAGCCTCCAGGATGCCTTTTGGGCACGCTGGGGTGGAGCCGGCTCTTGTTGTGAGTGGGGCTGTGCCCTGGGCCTGGGTATGACTGGAAGTATGGGCAGGGCTGGGTTGGGGTTCTGGCCTGGGCTCCCTGCCCCACTCCCTCACAGGGCTTCTCTTTCAGGAGGGCCTGGGATCTGCCGGACAGAAAGGTGATCGGGTACGTAACAGGAACTTTCCGTTGGGGAAGCTTAGATTGTTATTTATACGAAAGACGGGGAGACTGAGATAGTCAGACCTTTCCTCTGGTTCATGTCCCCAAATGCCTGCAACTGCTGGGGCTGGGCCAGCCCGAAGCCAGGGGTCAGGGAATCCATCCAGGTCTCCCCCGTGGGTGTCAGGGGCCTAAGTACTTGGCTATTGCCTCCTGAGTGCTCATTAGCAGGAAGATGGAATCAGAAAAGGAGTTGGGACACAAACCCAGGCACTCTGATGTGGGATGTGAGTGTCACCTTGGCCTCTTCCCCCGTTTGTTACATGGGCTGGTAAGCCCCACCTCTGGGGTGGAGGGACCCCGGGGTGTTGGAACAGGGCTGTCCTCATCTATGGCCAGAGAGTTTGGGCTGCCCCAATGTGCCCAGTTTCAGCCCACAAACCTTTTTCCCCTGCAGGGAGACCCTGGCATCCAAGGCATCAAAGGAGAGAAGGTGAGGGAGCCCCCGTTCCTGCTTTGCTCCTCTGCCTCCCCGGGAACCTTTCTGATCCCTCTGTCCCTCCCGCAGGGGGAGCCCTGCTTGTCCTGCGGCTCGCCTGTAGAAGCCCAGCACCTCAGAGAAGTGAGCTCCCCGGGCCTCGGCTTGCCTGGCCTTCCGGTGAGTGACCGCTTCCTCCCCTCCCAGGCCTGCACAGCCCGTCCTTGTCACACTGGTGGCCTTCCTGATTCTTCAAGGGCAGGGACCCAGAGAGAGGCCACGAGGGAGATGTCCCAAGCCTGCACCCTGGCCCACCCGCAGTCCTCTCTCCGTCCCAGTCCCAGTCCCTGGGATGTCCCAGGCTGGGACTTCCTCTTAGGACCTCCAAGTGCCTGGGTGTAGACAGAAGGAACTGTCCAGCTACCCGCGGGCTTGTGAGAGTCCGAATCCTGATGTTGCCCTGCTCCTTCGGGCTGGACACTGGGACCCAGGGGGGGCCTTGCGGGGCCTGGGGTGGGAGAGGCTGTGACTCCTGGCTCTTTCCTCAGGGCAAAGCTGGTGCTCCGGGGCCTGCAGGGCTGAAAGGAGAGAAGGTGAGGCTTGGGTCAGAGGTCAGGGACGGCAGGCTTCTTAGCAGGGAGGCAGGGTGGGGTGGCCCTGGCAGGAATAGAGACGATGTCGACAAGGCACCCAACTGTAAATTCACAGTGAAATAAATTCACCAGTGTTTTGCAGATGGAGTCCAATAATTTATTTCCAAGAGCCCGCACGCTCTCCGAGAGAATTCCTTAGTGTTGTACTTTTAATTTAATGATCATCTAAAACTATTAAGCTTACTCAAGACTACCTTATAGTAAAATAACATTTAATCCTTCTTCATCACTTATTATGCTCCGGGCCCTGTTCCAAGTCTTGTCCATGTGTTCACTTGTTTTATCCTCCCCATGCACTCTGGAGTGCCTCTTCCTTTGTTCCCATTTTATGGATGAGAGCAGAGCCGCGCACGCAGGCCAAGTGAATTGCTCAAAGTCACACGAGTGTTTGGATGTGGAGCTGGGAGCCGAGCCCAGGAAGTCTGGCTCCAGTGTGTGTCTTCATCACTGGGCCTGGTCACTCCGTCTCCGGGCCCGTGGCGGCGTTTGTGTTTGTGACTACACTGGAGACAGCGGACATTGATCTTGCAATGCAGTGTTCCTTAGATGGGGATGAGGGCCCTGTGGGCAAACCAGTGCCCTGGTGCGGGCAGTACAGTAGACATGTGTGCAGGCCCAGCTCTGAGAGGCAAAGCACACTCAGATGGGGCTTGTGCACCCTCTCCCCACTGCCCGCCCTCCTTCCAGTCTTCTCCACTTCAGGGACTGGCATCTATGCAGTTTCCTGGACCCCAGCCCCAACCCCCACGTCGCCTTTGATTCCTGCCTTCCCCCACACCACGCCTGCCATCAGCCCACCAGCTAGGATCTGGCGCTTCGGCCAGCGACTCCTCCCTCCAGGGCCTCTGCTCTCTCCGCTCCCACCGCCATCGTCTCTCGCCCTGCATGGCCACTGCGGCCCTTCAACAGTCCACTTTTCCTCGGGTAGTTACTGATGACCCGGCTTCTGCCTTTCCAGGTCCGTCTGGCTCCGTCTCTCCTCTTCTCCACCGTGCTTTAGTGGCACCGGCTCTCCTTCTGTTCTGGAACATGTCAAGACGGCTGCCACCTCTTCATTCTGTCCCTGTGGTCCCCACTAGGAACGTCTAGAACATTCTCCCCCACCCCCTCCTCTTCTTTCCTCAGCCGACCTTAGGCTCATCCTTCTGATGATAATCGCAGCTAACATTTCCCAGGCCTCCCCGGCTGAAATGCCTCCTCCCACTCACTCTGTCGCCTCCCTCGGTTTCTTTGCTTCCTTGCTGTTTGAAGTCAGTGTTTTGAGGGTTCTGAGTGTGTAAGCCCCGCGAGGCGTTTTAGCCAGCGCTGGTTGTCGCTGTGCACCTGCTGCCTGGCCCAGCGCTCCGTGTAGGAAGGTGAAGGACCCAGCTGTTGGGTGAACGCAGATGAGCTCTGGGAGCCGGGGCAGTGTGAGCGTGGGGCTGGGAGTCTGTGAAGGCGGACGTGGGCCAGAAACATGGATCTGAGCCCCTGGCTGGCCACAGGGGCCTTGGGGGAAGAGCTCTTCTCTCTCTGGGCCTTAGCTTCCCTAGCCAGGAAATAGGATGTCGTGTAGACGTCCCGGGGGGTTCCTCTTGTAATTCTGGGTTGAGGAATGTTCTAGCACCCAGACCCCACCCCTTGTCTGACCATGCCTTCTCTGCTCTGCTCTCAGGGTAATTTTGGGGAGGCGGGGCCAGCTGGCAGTCCGGTAAGTGTTGTCTGGGACGGCAGCCGCTTGGGGGAGGACAGGTGGGAGCGATTGGCCTGGGCCGGTCCCCGGCAGATGCTGGGTGTCACATGTGGCTTCTTATCATGCAGGGGCCACCAGGGCCGGCAGGACCAGCGGGCATCAAAGGGGCAAAGGTGAGAGGGGACAATTCCTAGACAGACACCTTGCTTACTTCCAGCCTCCCCGCTCCTCAGTGCCTGGGCCCTGGAGTCAAGACCCCCTTTGACAGCCCCTGCCTCTGTTTCATGCCTGTTTCCCCCCAGTCTCTCTTGAGATACTCCCTCACCTGTGTCAGAATCCCAGATCCCAAGCCTGGCCCTTGGGCCCCAGAGCTGGAGAGCCCTAGCCCGATGCCCTTGCTCCACAGGGGGAGCCTTGTGAGCCATGCCCAGTCCTGTCCGAGCCCCAGGATGGCGTTGGCCGCATGGTGGCCTTGCCCGGCCCTGCTGGAGAGAAGGGGGATCCCGGGCCTCCAGGCTTCGGCCTGCCGGGAAAGCAGGTGAGTTCTGGGCCTCTGCAGGCAGAGGCAGACAGGGCTGGGTCTCTGGACTCCCTGGGGGTGGAGTTGGGGGTGGAGGGGGAGGGGTCAGTGTCTCTGCCCCCAGCAGGAGCCGCCCTGTCCTTTACCCTGGGATGCAGTGGGCAGAATGGGCAGAGAGCGCGCTGATTTAGGACTGGGTGGGTTCCCATCCCAGCTCTGCCTCTTACTGCAGCTTTGACTTGAGCCCCTCGCTTTCATTCTCCACACCCCCGCGTCCCACCAGTGGCATGACCGTAAGGCTTAGCAAGGACGTGTACGACGCGAAAGCCACACACAGCGGGCCCTGGAGAAATGATGGTGGTCACCACTATGATCCTGATGACTGTTACTGCTTTGAAAGGAGCAGGGGCTGGGACATACTGGGCACCCTGTGCCAGGCACCACTGCACACACATGAGCTTGTCCGGTCGCCTAAGATCCCCAGGGGTCCCACCTTGTGTGGTTCTCGTAATTCCAATTTGACAGGTGAACAAACTGAGGCGCAAGCTGGAGGAGGTAACTTGTCCAGGTCGCCTCTCTTAACCTCCACCGATTGCTCCAGGAGCCTGTGAGCAGGGCTCTGGTCTATGCTGTTGAGGGTGGGGCCCCAGGCCCAATACTGCACTGGGCACTTTGGGTGTCCAGTACAAGTGAATGGGGACTGGCAATGTTTTCTCCTCAGGGCAAGGCTGGAGAGCGTGGACTGAAGGGGCAGAAGGTGAGAGGTCCTTGGGGGACGTGGCGGGTGGGGGCTCCTCCTCTCCGATGCCCTCCCCACTGCTTTTCCCTCACTGGCCTGTGACCCCTCTCCGCCTCCTTCCCAACCCCCAGCCCCAGGCAGGGACTGTGTTTATGGGTCCCATGGGGCAGCCCATGTCTAGCTGGGTGACCCCTGGCCCTGGTGAACCCCACTCCTTACAGGGTGATGCCGGGAATCCTGGGGACCCGGGAATGCCAGGCACTGTGGGGCAGCCGGGACTGTCAGGAGAACCTGGGGTGCGGGGCCCCGCAGGGCCGAAAGGAGAAAAGGTCAGTTGGGGGTGCAGTTTGTGGTGCGAGAAGCATGAGGGCAGTGGGGTGGGGAGGAGGGCAGAGCTTGTGAGGTGGGGCTGTGAGCCTCAGAGGAGGCCAGCGGCCCGCCAGGCTGAGGTGTGGGCAGCAGAGGGGCGGAGCGCTCAGAACAAGGACCCCCTTTGCGGTGCCTGTCCCTGGCCGGGCTCATGGGCTCCCGGGCTGTGCCCATCTCTGACCAGGGTGACGGCTGCACTGCCTGCCCCAGCCTGCAGGGAGCGTTGACCGGCGTGGCGGGGCTGCCTGGGAGGCCGGGCCCCAAAGGAGAGCAGGGCCCAGAAGGCGTGGGCCGGCCTGGCAAAGCGGTGAGTGCGGGCTGCCTGGACTATGCCTCCTTTTCCTCGGCCCCTGCCTCCCATGGGGATTCCAAGGATCCCCTGTGCCTTTTAGGGTCAGCCTGGTCTGCCAGGAGTTCCGGGGCCCCCAGGACTGAAGGGCACACAGGTATGTGTGGGCTACAGCTGTGTGGGGATAAGGAGATACCTGGGGTCAGCCGGTCTGGGATGGGGGGAAATGGAGACAGGTACAGAGGAGGGAGGCGGGTGAGGGCGAGGGGTGTTTTACAAGAAACTGTGCCTCTGCCTCTCCAGGGTGAGCCAGGGCCTCCAGGAATAGGAGCACAGGGGCCCCAGGTGAGTCTCCAGCCTTCCCTTTGCGTGTCCACCCCCAACCCTTCCATTAGACAGCTGCTCACTCCCATCGCCCCAGACTGCAGGGCTCTGGCTGGCTCGGTTGCTCACAGCTGCAGCTCTGGGAGCAGAGTCAGCAGCAGCCCTGGCCGCTGTTGCTTTTGTCAAGGCCTTGGCTTAGACCTCCAGCTCTCTGACGTGCAGGGTCTCCCTGGGGTGCTCCCTCTGAGTTTGGGCAAGCAGACACTCCACCCTGGACCAGGTCTGCAGTGGGGTAAGACCACTGGGTCCAGAGGGGCAGGTTGGCCTGGGTGCCATGCCCCAGTGTGCCCTTTCTCACTTGCAGGGGGAGCCTGGAGCCCAGGGCTTGCCTGGCATTCAGGTATGTCTGCCTTGGGCCCGGCAGAGATGGACGGGGGAGGGGCCACTCTAGGATAAGGGAAAACTGCCCGTGCTTTCTTCTGCAGGGCCTTCCGGGACCTCGGGGCCCACCCGGCCCCACTGGAGAGACAGGTGCCCAGGTAAGCCTCTGCCTCCCTGGGCGCTGGGCCTGCAGCGCCTCCAGGTGCTCTGGCAGTGGGTACAGGGTCTCAGGGGGCTGAGAAGTGCCGGCCAGAGGCCTGCCCTAGGCCTGAGCTCAGCTCACCCGGGGGCCTGTGGCCAGCTGCGAATTGTGTCCCTGCAGCCTTGTCACCCTCTCTCCTCCAGGGAGCTCCAGGGATGAAAGGAGCCACTGGGCCTGCGGGGCCTCCAGGTGCCAGTGTCTCTGGCCCTCCGGTAAGAGTCCGCTCTGTGAGCTGTGCTGGGGGCATTGCTGGGACCAGGGACCTTGCTGCTGGGAAGGGGGCAAGGGGCTGACCAAGCCTTTCCCAGCAGCGTGGGGGATGGGAAGAGGAGAGCGGGCTCAGCAGGCCCGTCTCCTGAGGAGGAAGAGAACACTGTTACAGGGAGTGCTTGAATGGTAATAACGAGCACCATTGCTTTTATAAGAGGCCCACAGAGACACAGACGCAGAAAAAGAGAACTCCCATCCTCTGGTTCACTCCCCAAATGCCCACATCAGTCAGGGCCAAAGCTGGGAGCTGGAAACCCAATCCAGGTCTCCCACATGGACAGCAGGAACACAACTACCGAGCCATCACCACTGCCTCCCACCCTGTATCACATCCTAAAGAGAGAATGGAGAAAACACGGACTTTGGGCTGGACAAACTTAGGTACATTGGCAGGAGGCTGGAGTCAGGAGCTGGAGCCAGGAATCGAACCCAGGCACTGCGGTGTGGGACACCAGTGTCTTAACCTCTGGGCTAAATGCCTGCTCCTAATTGGCACCATTTTTTGAGCAGTGACTGTGCTGAGGCCCTGTGCTAAGCCCTAAACACAGTCTGTCACTTCTTCCTCATAAGGAAACTGCTATTATTGTCCCCGGTTCATAGACAAGGACACAGAAGGCTCAAGAGAGAATGACAGGGGCGGAGCCACGAACCTGCACCCAGGCCTGTGTGACCCAAGCCCGCCCCTGACTTCAGATCCTGGGGCCCTTAGGGACGCTCCAAACCCATGCTGTCTGCGAGAACTCTCTTCGTGGCTGGGAACATTCTAGGTGGCAAGACCTGAGACAATGCGTCAGGTTTAAAAGATGTGTCTATTGAACAAATTGCATAGATTAAGTAATAATAAATGCATTTTCTCATTTTAGTCATCAAAGACCTGTATAATAGCCAGATTCTGCTCCGCATGAACCCACTAGAATTTTGCAAGATGATATAATTTTAGCCTAAATCAAAGAAATGCTACCTTTCAGCTGGGCTGTGCCATGCTGGGTCGTGGGCAAAGGTATAATTTTTCTTGGGCTTTTGGTAATGTTGAAAATAGCCCAGTGAATCGTGTCGTGTGCTTTCCTGTCTTTGTGGGTCCCTAGAGAAGTTCTGGTTCCAGTTTGGGAATTGCTGACGGATTCCTCCCCAGGGTACACCAAAGCCCAGAGGGCACGGGACTTGCCGTGGGCGCAGCAGAGCTGGACAGTCAGGCCTCTGCCTGTCCCGAGGAGGCCCTGGAGGGAAAGGCAGCGATGCCGAGGCCCTGTGGGCAGGTGGAGGGTCCCAGGGGAAGGCGGCCAGCACAACCCCACCCCTCTGCCACACTGCAGGTTCTTCTACGAGTGCTCTCCAGCTCGCCCCTTAAGCTGAATCCCACCCGGGAGACCTCCCACTCCTAGCCCCTCACTCACTACCTGTGTGACCTCAAGCAAGGGCCAGTTCCTCAGAGTCTGCAGTTCCTTGTCTGTAAAATAAATAGTCCCAGGGCTGGCGCTGTGGCCCAGCATCCTCTACGAGCCCTGGTTTGAGTCCCGGCTGCTCTACTTCTTCTTCTTCTTCTTCTTCTTCTTCTTCTTCTTCTTTTTTTTTAATAACATACTTTCTTTTTTTTTTTCTTTTTGACAGGCAGAGTGGAGAGAGAGACAGAGAGAAAGGTCTTCTTTTACCATTGGTTCACCCTCCAATGGCTGCTGCGTCCAGCGCACCACGCTGATCCGAAGCTGGGAGCCAGGTGCTTCTCCTGGTCTCCCATGCAGGTGCAGGGCCCAAGCACCTGGGCCATCCTCCACTGCACTTCCAGGCCACAGCAGAGAGCAGGACTGGAAGAGGGGCAACCGGGACAGAATCCGGTGTCCCGACCGGGACTAGAACCCGGTGTGCCGGTGCTGCAAGGCGGAGGATTAGCCTATTGAGCCGCGGCGCCGGCCTGCTCTACTTCTAACTCAGCTCCTAGCTAATGCACCTGAGAAAGCAGCAGAAGATGGCTCAAGTGTGGGAGACTGTGTGCAGCTCCAGTCTCCTGGCTTCTGCCTGGCCCAGCCCTGGCTGTTGTGGCCTTTTGAAGAGTGAACCAGGGGATATAATCTCTCTCTTTCTCTCTCTCTCTCTGTGTCTCTCTCTCTCTTTCTTTCCCCTGTGTCTCTCCCTCTGTCATTCTGGCTTTCAAATAAATAATCTTATTTTGTTTAAAAAAGGGCATTGAAAATAACAGAAAAAAAAATAGTCCAGTCACTCAATGTGGCATGTGATGGAGAGAACGTGTGTCACACACTAAAGAGAGACACTTGGGGTTGGCCAGCCTGGGTGCAGTGATGCTGTTGGGTCTATTGCTATCTCCCCTTGAGCTTCCTGAAAAGTGGAACCATGCCACCCAGCAGGGCTGGGTGTGGGGGCTCCACCCTGTGTTCCTGGTCAGGCACGTGGCCCACAGGTGCTCAGGCAATGCCAGTTCTCCTCCTCCTCCTCCTCCTCTTCTCTGATTGCCTGCTGTGCCTCCGTTGCCTCCTCTAAAATGTGGGCACTGGGGAGCCTGGTGCTGCGCCTGCTGGTCCTGCCCCCTCCTGCCGGCCAGCATCACCCACTGACTCTGGGCTCTCTTCCTTCAGGGCCACGCTGGGCAGCAAGGACAGATGGGCCATCCAGGAGTCAGAGGGATGCCGGTGAGTCTGGTGCCAAGGGGCAGCAGGAAGTTGTGGCTGGCCCTGCTCCGCACCTCTTTCTACTCACCTCCCTATGTTTCTTCCCTGCAGGGCGAGAAGGGATCTCGAGGAGAGAAGGTACGACCCAGACCCAAGGACCTGGGACCCATTCCCAGGGGGCATTAGCAGTGCCTGCAGCCCGCAGGAAAACCCCTGTGTACAGAGATGCCCTGGCTGCAGGGTGGGGGCCGGAGACGCATCCTGATCTCCATGCCATCCACCTGCTCCCTGATTCCAGGAGCCCCCAGAATCCCTTACTCCCCTAGTTGCTGGCCCAAGACTAAATTAGGACAGCAGGAGGCCAGAGAACAAGGTCCCGCTCCCACTGGCAGCTGCAATTTCAAAGCAGGCGGGGTGGAGTCAGAGGATGAAGCAGGAAGTGAGTTAGGAAGGACTGACAGGGAGAGGACAGACAGGAGAGTCTGGGAGAGAAGGGCTTGGAAGCCCAGCTGGGCCAGAGGTGCAAGCCTGCAGCAGGGTGGAGCTGCGGCTGTGAGGTGAGGACACCCGTGCCGCTGCACGAGGCTGTAACTGAGCAGCCCCAGTGACAAAAGTAGCCGGGCTCTGCCGAGTCCTTACCGGGTGGTGGGACCTCGTGTGCAGGCATCCAGTCTGGAATCACGATTTCAGTGTTACCCACAAGGAGGCTGAGGGTCAGAGAGGTTGGACAGGTTGCCCGGGGCACCATCGGAAGCGGCAGATGCTGCACCTAAGCCCTGGCCCCCCTCTCTGGAGAGCACACTTGGCCTCCCAATATTGGTTTCCAGAGGCCTCCCCCTGACCCAGCCCACTCCTGCCCACCCCTCACAGAGGCTCTTGTCTCTTTAGGGTGAGCCAGGGGAGTGTGCCTGCCCCCACCGAGGCGACCCCATCTTCTCTGGCATGCCGGTGAGTGGCGCTTAGAGTCTGCGCCCCAGCCAGGGGATGCAGCCTGGCTTCGGCCAAGCCTGCTGTTCTCCAGCAAGGGCCTCGCAGGGCTCCGCGCCCCAGCCAGCCGCCTCCCCACGCAGCCCCGCGCTTGGTGTGGACGTTGCCTATAACCTCTCCTCTTCTTTTGCGACCCCCACTCCCACCCAGGGTGCTCCGGGACTTTGGATGGGCAGCTCATGGCAGCCGGGCCCGCAGGTGTGTCGCTTGTCTCCCTGCCTCTCCTCTTGTTCGCCGGCGCCCTGTGGCTTGCCCGCCCTGCCACTGCTGCCCCCAGCGATGGGGCACAGCTCTCCTCTGGCCCTGATTCTTTCTTCTCTCTCTCTCTCAGGGTCCTCCGGGTGTTCCTGGACCGCCAGGGCCCCCTGGAATGCCTGGGCTGCAGGTAAGGGGGGAGGAGAGAGGGAAGGGTTCGGGTGGCAGGGTCGTGCGGTCACGGTGTCTGCTCTGTGCTCTGTGTCTGCTCTGAGCAGGTGCTCCTCAAACTGGTCCCAGCCGTGCTCCCACATGCTCTTGTCTCCAGGGCGGTGAGGAGGGGGCCCGCTGAGCCCAGCCCTTTATTTATTTATTTTTGCGGAATGCCCTGTTGTGTGTTAGCATCCGGTAGACGCCAAGCTCAGGCTTTGGTCAAATGTCAGAAAGGCAGGATCTGGGTCAGATCAAATCTCTCACACGGTCCAGAGCTCTGCCATTTGATATTCGTTCACACAACACATGTTTTTGTACACGTGCTGATTTCTGAGCACTGGTTTAGGTGCTGGGGACACAGCATTGGACAAAAATAAAGACCCCTGCCCTCCTGGAGTTTGCAGTCTAGAAGGAGAGACAGACAATAAGCAAGATGAATCAACAGAATGTAGTGTATTAGACGTACGCGCTGCGGAGAGAGACGGAGTGGGAGTCGGGGTGGGGATAGACGGTGCAGGGAGGGCAGGAAAGATATTTGCAAAAAGTGCTGAAAAGGAGGTGGAATTAATCAAAACTTAAAGGAAATGGGGGGCAAGCTGGTGATGGAGAGCAGCCTGGTCAGGGAAAGCAGCAGGTGCAAAGGCCCGGAGGTGGGAAATAGCAAGGAGAGCAGGGACTTCGAGCTGAGGTGGGTGCGGCATTGTCACTGGAGCGTGCATTCCAGACTCAGGCAGCCCGATTTTGAATCCCAGCTCTGCCATGTGCTGTCTGTGTGACGCTGGGCAAGTTAGTTGACCTCCCTGTGTCTCAGTTCCTTCATCTGTTAAGTAGGGATAACCACAGCGCCCCCACCATAGGGCAGAAACCAGTGCATGGGAGGAGTCAGTGTGTGCAAGGGGTCTAAGCCGAGCCTGGCGCGTGCTAAATGCTGGGGAGGCACTGACCATTGTTACTGTGATGACGGGGGGAAGTGCTGTGTGGCCTCCATTCTCTCACCCATCTGAGCCTTGCATCATGCTCCTCCCTTACATAAGGAAGGGGGTGCTACCCCCTTAGTCACGGCAGAGCAGGATCTCAGCCATGATCATTGGCCACGCTGGACTGTGCCTCCCCCACGCAGAGCACTCTCTGCTGCCTTCCGCTGGCAGTCAGCACAGCTCCCCAGTGGCTTGCACAGCAGGCCACCTTTCCCAGAGGGCCCAGGAGGTCCAGCAGGAAAGCTTCCGTGCCTGTGACCCTCAGCCCCTGCAGAGTGACTCCCACCTGGAGAAGCAGAGTGACTCCCACCTGGAGAAGCAGAGTCACGTGGTGGCTCCTCCCCACCCCAGCACACCGCCCCTTTCTGGGCTGGGAACGTGCCACGGCGAGGAAGCCACCATTGCTGATGGGAAGCTCCACCAGGATCCCAATTCTGTGTGTGTGTGTGTGTGGGGGGGGGTTCTTCCAGTTTGCTTAGGGGAAGCCAAGAGTCCTTTCAAAGCGCCCCATTCACAGGGAGCGCTGATGGGCTGTGAACCCTGCCAGACATGCTGACATTAGGCAGAAAAGAGTGACCGCTGAGTCTGGTCCCGGGCACCAGAGTCCTCTTCTGGTGCCAGTTCCTGAGCCCAAACCCAGGCTGCCACCAGCAGGCCCCTGCCCTGTGCCGAACAAGGTGCCGGAGGGCTCAGCCGCTCCTGTCTTGGGATGCAGAAGCAGGCTCAGCGACGCATGGCCCTCGCTCACCCAGTGCCTTGTGATCTCGTTTCATCCCAAACCATTTCACAGATGTGGAAACTGAGGCACAGAGGATAAGAAATCTGCCCGAGGCCCCATAACTAGTAGGCAGTTGAGCCTAGTGTTAACTCAGGCTGCACTCTTTAGTTCTATGGTAGAGCAGGTGGAACGCCCACTTAGTTCTGGGGGGGTCAGGAAGGGATCACCAAGTATCAGGCTTGAACTCGCACATCTGCGCTGAAGAGAGGAGCAGGGGTTGAGTCATGATCGAGGGCCTGATCATAATTAGCACGCAGGCATTGTCCCTGTGCCAGGCACTGTCCTCCACCCTGCTGGTGCCGAGGAGGGGGCCGCCTGGGTGGGAAGGGACGCGGTGGGGCTGGGTGAGGGCTGCCTCCCAGTGTGACCCAAGCCTGGAGGAGTCTCCCAGCAGCGATGTGTTCCGGTGCTGGGAGCTGGGATTTGAAGGGAGGCCAGGTCTCGGCACAGGCCAAGGAGATCCCGTGCAGGGAGGAGCGGGCCAAGCAACAGTGCCTTCACTCTGCACGTGTTTAATGTACACTCCCTCCTGGGAGTTCAAGTAGGGACACCCCCCCCCACCTTCCCTGGAGAGTTTAATACCCAGTTGCACACTGTGAGCTGGCCAGGGGTCCTGGGAGGCTCCCAGGTGTGGAGGACTAAGCTCCCTATAGCCACTGTCTCCTTGAAGCCTCACCATAAACTCTCCCTGTTTGACAGATAAGGAAACTGAGGCATGGAGTCCCCCCCCCCCCCAAGTAATCTGCCAAACATAGCTCGTCATGCAGCTAGATGGGTCTGAGCCGCAGGCACACGCCTTGCTGTACACACGAACGTTCTGGGGATGTCTTTGGAGGAACGAGGCTGAAATCGTCGTTATGAGAGGGGTCGGAAGCCGGTGGTCCCCATTGAGTCCCAGCCCTGTGACTTTTTTCTTTGGTGGCCTTTGGCAGTTTGCATACTCTCTCTGAGTTTTTTGCTCTGTTTTTAACATGGAGATAACACCACCAGGTAACCACGATGATTATAGGAGAAAATGCCAGAAACTGCTTAGCCCAGAAAGAAATGTTAGCCACATGGAAGCGCCTCTGCCTGGTTTTGGTTGCACCCCGGCCTGTAGGGAAAGCACTCTCTATTGGGCTGGTTTTGGGGGGTCACTCCTTTGGGCCTTCTTGGCTGCACCTGCAAAGGATCTGGAGACTCCCAAGCTCAGAAGAGATGTGAACCTTGTGCCCGTCAGGGCTTGGCTGGGCAGGACAAGGGAGCAGGGTGACCAGCAGGCTGGAGAGAGGGGGCCACTCATTCTTGTCTTCCTGGCTGCAGGGAGTGCCTGGGAACAACGGTCTGCCAGGACAGCCTGGGCTCACCGCGGAACTGGTAGGTACCTGCCAGAACTCACTGGCCACCCCCTCCCTGCCCAGGGCTGAACTGCCCACGGCGGCTCCTGCGGCTGCCATGGGTCGGGAGAGTCCCTGTCCTCTCCCTTCCAAAGCTGGGAGAAGCCGAGGTGATGCTTCCCCAGGCTGCCCCAATTCCCCATCCCTCACCTGCTGTCCCCCACGCTCTGTCTCCTGCAGGGGTCGCTCCCCATCGAGCAGCACCTCCTCAAGGTAAGCGGGCACGAGGTGGGCTGGGAGTGCCGGGGTTGTCCTCAGGGGACTCTCCTTGTAAGTGCTCAGTTGCACAGACCTTGCAGAGGAGGGTGGGAGGGAGCAGAGCGCTGAGCGACTGGCTGGCTGTTTGTAGGGAATATGCGATCCATGCAGTTGCCTTGCAGGGCCTAGCTGCTGCCTGGTTCATAACAGACCCCCAGGCACCATTTGCTTAAAGGAGTCCTGGGAAGGGACCCATATGGCGGCTGCTGTCAGCAGAACCCAACCTTGAGTGGGCCCACGGCAGCTGGCAGTGAGGCCCTGGAGCTCCAGGGACACATCAGGGCGTGACCTGCAGCAGAGCGGAGACGGGCGGTGGAGGGCCAGGAGGAGAAAGGCTGGTGAAAGGCTGCAGCCCCTCTCTGGTCAGTGCAGAAAGAATCCAGCAAGGGAATGAGAAGCCATGCCAGTGGTGCAAGACAGGGCCTGGGTTTGGTGTGCACCTGCAAACTGCCATAAGACCCCACCCCGTGCAGTGGCCGGGTCAGGCTTCGTCACCACAGGGGATGAGGGTGCACTCATTCCTCCTGCTGCCTTCAGGGCTTTGCACTTAGCATCCCCAGGGGGCCCTCCCAGCCCTGGCCCCAGAGCATGCCCCCTTCTCCTGGCACTGCCACTGGCCAGGACGTCCCTCAGCCCTGCCGGGGACCCGGTCAAGCAGAGTTTGAGACTGCCTGCCCCACCCCCCATGAACAGCTAGACACAGCTAGAGCAGGAGGTGGGGCCGACCCTCTGGTGCAGCGACAGTCGAGATAACTGCGGGCTTGTGACAAGCAAGACCCCGGCATCCTCATCGCGGCTTCTGTCAGCCTGGGTCTCCCCAAGTCTTGCCCCTGGGCGGTGACTGTGTGGCTCCAAACCCAGAATTTGGCATTTCTTCTCGTGACCATTCGTTTGTTGATTTCATAACCACGTGCTCCACCGTCATCCCCTAATGCGCCCACCGAGCGAGTGGGGTCTGGAGAAGGGGCTGGGTGGCAGCCCAGGGGGTGCTGCATCCACAGCCCAGAGGAGGCCTGGGCCTGGGGGGAGAGCGCTGGCTCTGGCCGCACACTGACAGGGCCGCTCCGGGCTCCTGCCTACCCAGAGCAGTCCCGCCCGCCTCTTGTGGGCGTCAACTTGCTCTTCTGCACAATGCTCATAAGATCCCCACCCCCTGAGCCCTGAGCACCAGGTGTGAAAATGTGCGAAGGTCCATTGCCACTCCTGGCCTCCCAGGCACGGAGTAAATGGTGACTGGTGATTGCTCTCATTGGGCGAACAGTGAAAGGGAGAGCAAGGGCTGCTGCCTGGGAGGCCATGGCCACCACACCAGGCCACAGAGAGACTCCAGGCCCCCCAGGCCCCTGCAATCGGACACTGGCTTTTTCTAGTGGGTCTGATCCTTCCGTGGGGGACACCTGTAGCTTTTATCAAAATTTCAGAGAGATCTGTGACCCGAAGAAGCTGAAAATCCCGGGATAGCAGCAGGCCCTTCTGATCCCGACCCAGCCTGCTGGGGAGCCCGGAGCAGTGGGGTCTGCTCGGGCCACCCGGTCCCAGAGGGCGTCTGGCACGGCCGGCTTCCCCCACAGCTGTTTCCTCCGCTCCCTTGGGCCGCGAAGCTGCGTTTGGAGCCAGCATTTTCAGCCTCAACCCGCATGCCTTGTCCTGGCAGTGGCTACAGGCTGCGGGGACAGCCGGGACAGATGGTCCCTCTGCGGGCCCCTCCGCCTCCTCCCACACGCCTGTCTGGAAAGTGGCTCTGGCTTGGTTTTGCCAGAGCTCCTTCCTGGAGGAAACTCAAAGCCGATGGCTGGGATTGGGTCCCCTGGGGGCGGAGCAAAGCTGCCGCAGGCGTGGGGCTGGGGCAGGAGAGTGTGGGCTGAGGACGGCTGCTGGTCAGGGTGCCCCCGTGTGGCCCAACCTGGCCATCTCCCCGCCCTGCCGCCCCACCCCAGGCCCCACTGCCCTCCCCTTCCCTCCGCAGAGCATCTGTGGGGACTGCGTCCAGGGCCAGACGGCCCGCTCTGTGTCCCTGCTGGAGAAAGGAGAGAAGGGAGACCAGGGCATCCCCGGTGTGCCAGGACTGGACAACTGCGCCCGGGTAGGCGCCGGGCTCGGGGCAGGCCCGGTGGGGGAGGGCTCCCTGCTTGCCTCACCTGACAGAGCCCCACCTTGTCCCCCACCCCCAGTGCTTCTTGGAGCGGGAGCGGCCCCGAGCTGAGGAGGCCAGGGTGAGTGGGCCCCACCTGGTCTTGCCCCAGTCTGGGCTGCACAAGGGGTTGGGGGAGGCCCTAACTGCCCACTCTCACCACCCCATCCCCCCTCCAGGGAGACAACAGCGAGGGAGAACCCGGTTGTGCTGGGAGCCCTGGCCTGCCTGGGCCTCCGGGACTGCCAGGCCAGAGAGGAGAAGAGGTAGGACCAGGGGCCAGGCCTCAAGGGGGCTGGGGTTCCCCATCAGCCTCAGAGGCCAGCCAGGGCCTCTTCTGTCCCCGAGGTTGCTGGTTTCTCCCCATGCTGGTACTAGTTGGCTTTTCCTCCCTGGGCCCCTCTTCTAGGCCCACGCCTGCCCTCCAGCTCACGGCTTAAACACCACCTTCTCTGGGAGGCTTTCTTGGACCATCTTCTTAAAAGTGGAGCCCCCCAGGGCCCCTCCCTGCACTGTACTCATCCCCATCCCACATCCTGCACGTTGGCTTGGTTCAGGAGCATCCCACAGGCACCCACTTCGTACCCGTACCCACCTCGTCCCAGAATGCAAGTGCCTCGAGGCAGGCGATGACGTCCTGACTTGTGGGTGGCAGTGTGCCCCGGGCACCTGCACCAGCACTTGTAGTGTCCTAACAGCTATTCGGTTAAATGTTCACTGGGTGACCCAGTGGACAGAAGGGCAGTTTTAACATCCACTAAATCGGCCTCTTTTGGCAACAGCCACCCCTGCTGCCTCTGGCTGGAGCGACTGAGTTGGGGGTTGGGAGGCCCCGGCCTCTCCATGCATTTCCCTTGGTTTCCTTTGCAGGGTCCACCCGGCGTGAGAGGCTCCCCGGGTCCTCCAGGCCCTATTGTAAGTGTCTGCGGTACCCTGGGCTGTTGGAGCCGCTCTCAGAGGGGTCATAGGGCTCACACATCCTCTGCTGTCTTATCCCCCAGCTGCCAGGCAGGGCAAGAGGGAGGCGACACCCACTGTCCCCCCCTTTCCCGCCTCAGCACCAGACCACGGAATGCCCTGGAGCTGCCTTCCCCGGGGAGGCCCGCAGGGGCGTGTGGGTGCTTCCTCTCCCCCGCCGCTGTAGTCGACACTGGACTCAGGAGCCCTGGGCAGCGGGGGGGCGGGGAGGGTGTGTGTGTGTGGCATTCTGGCCAGACCTTTCGCTAGCCCTGTGGCCCCAGGTGCCACGAAGTTTGGGGGCTGAGCTGGAGCTGCCGCCCGTTGCTCTTGGGGCCAAATCTCGAGCAAAGTCTCCAAAGCCCAGGCCAGGTGCAGCCACCCCAGAGTTCCCTGCGGTGTTGATGTGGCAGGAAACTGGAAGCAACCGGCAAAGACGGGAAGAACTGAAAATGCGTGGCTGGTGGGAGCCACCTACTAGAGGTTGCGGGGCAGGCAGGATGGGCCAGGCAAAAAGACAGGAGCTTCCACTCTTACAAAGGTGCCAGGAGGATTCTGGAAGACTTGGGAAGCACTGTCTGACTTGGGGGCGGATTCGCGTCTCTGCCCCTGGACAGAGGAGCCAAGGGCAGGAGCAGCTGCCCCTGTGGGCCGAGAGCACCCACGAGTCTCTTCCTCCAGCGGCCTGGACAGTGCCGCCCTGGCCCCCAGCCTCAGGCCGCCCCAGCGTGACTGTGCTTGTGAGATGTGACCTGCCTGTTTCTCCCACCAGGGCCCCCCAGGTTTTCCTGGTGCTGTTGGCTCCCCCGGATTGCCCGTAAGAACCTAGCACTGCACCCCCACCCCCACCTGCCAGCCAGGTCTCTGTGCCTCGTGCTTGTCTCCCTGTCCTGGTGTTTGTTGTCGCCCTTCAGGCACGGTAGCTAACGACACAGCTTCCCACAGCTTCCCCGAGGGGCCAGCGGCTTGGACGTCCTCCCGGGTTCTGCCTCTTTTCAGTTCTCCCTCTCATCTTCCCGCTGCCACCCCCTCTTGTTTCCTCTCTCCTCGCCTGCTCACAATCCCGGATCACTCCGCGCCCCTCCACCCCCTCCCTGGCCCCCCAGCTCTCTTACCTTCTTGCTTTAAGCTGGCGCCCCCCTGGAGCCCCTTTTCTTCCTCTCTTCTCCCTTCTGCCTCCTGCTCCCCACCACCTGCCGTGTGGACGGAAGATTTGCTGAAAGTCGTTCTTGGGGCCCTGCCAGGCCCTGGCTCGGAGCCCGGCGGAGACGCCAAGGCTTCACATTGCAGGCTGGCACAGGTTGGCTGCCCTGCTGCTTGGCAGGGCTGTCCAGAAGCACCCCAGGGATTTAAAGGCAGCCGTGCCTACACCTTTCCCACCGTTCTAGAGGAAACCCTCAGCTTCCTCCCCTGCCTCTCCTCTTTCTTGGCGCCGGTCCCAGGCTGCTCCGAGGCTGGGCACGTGGCGCCCGCCGGTTGGGTTTCTGGGTGTCGCGGGGCCCCGGTGCCTTGGCCCGCTCCCTCTGCCAGGTGTCGTTAATTGCTCTGCCGTCGTCATTGTCACAGGTGTGTTTAAGTCACCTCCATCCTCACCGCTGCTCCCTCCTGGGTCACGGAAACTAACCTCCTGTTTGTCAGATTTTGTGTTCCCGGGGCCTGGCTCCTCTCCTCCTAAGCCTGGCGACAGAGGCTCAGGGAGCAGGGCCCCTCCTTGTCACAGCCCCATCTGTCCCACGTCCTCCTCTCTGGCCGGGCCTCGTGTGTTTCTGCTTGCTTGGGTGAAGGGGCCATCTGTCCGTCTAGCCATCTGTCTTGTGTGGTGGAAAGGTCTGGGTGTCGTCTCTGGAGGGGCCGAGGGAGAAGGGGGCAGAGAAGGTGTGCTCGTGGTGGCGTGGTGACCCCGCGCAGGTCAGGAGTGAGGGCTGATGGGCGGGTCTCCAGCGCTGAGTGGCAGGAACTTCACTTCCATGCTACAAAGTGGCAGGGGCCGCGCTGGAGGGCGTCCTCCTGTGTCTCTCTCCACGGTCCTAATTCGGGGCTGGGTGGGAGGGCTGGACAGGTAAGTGCTGGGCATCTGGTGCCATCCTGTGCTGGGGAGTGTCACTTCCAGAAGCTCTCATTTGCTGTGTGGGGCACACTGGTGACAGTCACCTGAGGGTCCCCCTGAGAGTCACCCCCCTGGGGGCATATCTCTGTAGCTGTCTGGTGGGGGGTAATGTGCCCAAAAGGCACCACTTGCTAGGGCTTTCCTCCTCCTACAGTCGCCCTCTGCAGCGCAGCTCCTGGGTCACCTCGTCTGGGACGTGGGGGCCGGGCCACTAGCGCCTCCCTTTGCTTAGGATGGGAGCAGAGGCCGTGGGCAGGTGGGAAGTGCACTCCTGGGTGGTTTCTCATGATTCTTCTCCCCAAGGGCCTTCAAGGAGAGCGAGGCCTCAGGGGCCTGACGGGAGACAAGGGGGAACCGGTAAGAAGAGGCCTGCAGGGCGGGGAGGGGGCCCTGGGCTGGGAGGGGGGTGGCTGCCTGATGGCAGGGGGAGGTGGACTCCTCTTTCTGAGACTCTCTGCCCCTCCACCCAGATCACTCAGTGTGGGGGTCTTCGCAGCCCCTCAGGACCAGAGATCTCCATGTGCCCTGACTCCCTTGAGGGAGCTCGTGGCCCTGTTCCCTGCCACCTGCTGCCCGAGTCCCGGGGGCCTGTGTCCTCCCACGGCGTCAGCCCTCAGTGTGCCCTCCCTTCCACTGGGTCCTCATCACCCCCTTGCTGGCCCTCTCCTCTGGCTCAGCCTCCGGGTCCTAGGTCTTGGTTACCACCAGGGGACCTGTGGCTTAGGGCAATGTGGGTCCAGGGTGGTAGCTGTCATGGTGGAGGGGGATCCCCTGCTCCCAAGGAGTGGAGAACAGAAGCGGTGAGGGGCTGGCCCATCACATCTGTCTTTATTTGCAGGGTCCTCCAGGGCAACCTGGTTACCCAGGCGCCATGGGCCCCCCGGGACTGCCTGTGAGTAAGGGGAACCTGGATGTGGGGGTACTGGTGGTGTGGGCAGTGGTCGGGGCAGGACCAGGCTGGGTGTTCCTCCGCAGGTTGCCCCTCTGCCGGCATTTCAGCCCCTGCCTCTGCTTGCCGTCTGTGCAGCCTCCTCTTGGAGCTGTTTGGCGGTGTGGCTCCCCGCCCCCCATTTCTGCCTTGGCTGGGCAGATTCACAGAGCACCCTGCAAGTCCCAGACCTGTCCCGGGGTGCGGGGAGAGCAGGGCAGACGGCTGGGAGGCGTCCCCCTACATGTCCCGCTTCCCACTGAGGGCCGCAGCCGCCCGGCCCCACCTCCCCCAGCCGTCCTCCTCAGTGCCATCTGCCTCTGAGTGCCAGTCTGGGTGCCAGCTGCAGGATCCACCCCTCACATTAGCACCGCGACAGGCGGGCCACGGGCTAATTCCGCTCTCTCTGCCGCTTGTCAGGGCATCAAGGGAGAGCGCGGTTACAGCGGGCCCGCGGGAGAGAAGGGGGAGTCGGTGAGTCGCCCACAGCCCGGGGATGGACAGGACCTGTGGGAGGAAGGGCTTCAAAGGGAGCTGCTCCCCCCCCACCCCCCGCTGCTGCACCCACTCAGGCGGCTGGAGAGAATGTTCTAGCAGCCTGTGAAGGAGCAGACCGTGACCCCTGCTGCTGCTGCCCCGAGCCCGTCCAGCTGAATCCCAGCAGGCTTCGTGGGGACTGGCGGTGGGGGCTGCCCCGGGAAGGGGGCAGAGGAACTCCTCTTCCTCCTCCCCCGCCTCTTCCCCTTCTTCTTCTTCCCCTTCCTCCTCTTTCTCTCCCTCTTCCTCTTCCTCCTCCCTCCCCTCCTCCTCTTCCTCTCCCTCCTCCCTCCCCTCCCCCTGCCAAGGCAAAGGCTGGTGGGCCTGAAACTCTAGCCCCAGCCCCAGCTCTGGGCGGGCGGGGGCTGTGATTAGAGGAGGAGGACACCAAGAGCCCCATGGCGGGACTCCCCCAAGGGAGGAAGTGCTGGGGCCTGGACTCCTGGTGACAAACCTCCCACGCCTCAGCTGAGGCTCCGACTCCCTGCTCACAAACTTCAGCCAGGCCTCAGTGGGATTCCAGAGACCTCGTCACACATATTCAGTGACAGACATTTCTGGCGGGCCCGCTGGGCTCCGGGCTCCCTTCTGAGGACACTGAGGGACAAAGCAAACTCTGCACTGAGATGAATGAACAAAGACCCGTGAATGATGAGAGCTGAGACCTATGCAGGAAACCGCAGGCTAAGGGGCTGGAGCCGGTGCAGGCTGCTTTTCAGAGCGAGGTCCCCGAAGGCCTCTCTGAGGAGGTGTTTGGGCCCAGATCTGGATGCAGGGTGGGAGGGAGCCCAGAGGGAGTGGCTGTGTGTGTGGGGGGGGTGCTGCAGGAACAGCCATCTGCTGATGTGCTCAGGTGGGGACAGGTGGGGATTCCAGGTAAAGGGGAGAGCCGTGCAAAGGCCCAGTGGTGAGAGCACAGGGAACAGCGGTCTGACTGAGCAAGGCAGGAGAGAAGGGAGGCGGGAAGGGTGGTTGGCACTGGATCATAGGACACCTGCAAGACCGGCATTGGTGGAGGGTGTGCCCCTCTCTCCATGGGCAGAGGGGAGCAAGAGAGTGACATGCTCAGAGCTGTGCTGGGGGAAGAGGAGGTGGTGGCCATCGGTGGGCCAGGTTGAAGTGAGCCCGGTGGTAGCAGGACGGTTAGGGGGCTGGCGTCAGGTAGCTCAGGCGAGAGAGGGAGGGCTGCCAGCCGGAGTTGGCTCCTGCCGCACCTGCCTCTGCTCTGTGCCGTGCCCCCCCGCCCCCGTCAGTGACTGACTGCTCCCTCGTGTCCCCAGGGCCCACCAGGATCAGAAGGCCTCCCAGGTCCCCCAGGCCCAGCGGTGAGTGCGGGAGGGGTGGGAGACGTGGATGTGGGACCCGGTGGACCTGCCCTGGGTCAGAGGGTGGGAGGACTGGGTTCCAGCGGTGTTCTTCTCTGTGGGCGACAGGGGCCCCGAGGAGAGCGAGGACCCCAAGGGAACTCTGGTGAGAAGGGTGACCCGGTGAGTAATGGCTGAGACCTGGATGTGGGAGGTACAAAGAGGCGGGGTCTCCCTGCCTGGTGGTCCCCAGCTCTCTTTGGCACTTCGGGCCTCACCTGCCAGCCATGGTGGGCAGAGGGGCGAGCCCTGCGGCTCAGCTTGGGGCTGCCTCATTCTGTCACACACACACACACACACACACACACACCCGCTCTCCGGTGGCCAGGCAGGGCGGGGCGGCACAGCACTGTCCCTTGCTTCTCCCCTAGGGATTCCAAGGTCAGCCAGGCTTTCCAGGCCCGCCGGTGAGTACAGCCCCAGAGCCGCTCCGTCTGATGTGGTCTCCTCGGGAGGGGCAGGCTGGACCAGGCCAGGCTGGGCGAGGATGGGCCCAGAAGGGGAGGAACAGCCTGGGTGGCCGGGCCGGAGTCCAGGAATCAGGACCTGGAGAGCAAAGCCTCCTGGGTGGGCCCAGCGGCCAGGCAGACACCATGCCCCTGCGTGGTGTTCTAGGAAGTCCAAACGCATTGCGTTAACAACAGAGAAACACGCACAGGGGGAGCGAAGAAGGGCCCCCTCCTGCCCTACTTTGATTCCCAGCGGCTGCTTTGTTGACACAGGGTCCCCCAGGATTCCCTGGCAAAGTTGGAGCCCCTGGACCACCCGGACCCCAAGCGGAGAAGGTGAGCAGGACCCCAGGCTGGCCAAAGCCAGGAATCAGCCCCACATTCCCCACACTCACTCCAGCCCACCACCAGCACCAGGCCTCGGGGGAAGTCCAGGACTGGCTCTGTGACATCAAGGCTGGGAGCAGAAGCCTCCGGGCTGGGCCCATGGAACTTGGCGTGGGGGTGGGGGTGGGGAGTGGGGACCTGGTGGGTAGGGGGGAATCCCCCCCAAAGAAGGCACCAACCTGGCACAGGAATGGGTCTGGGTCAGGGCAGCCATGCTCAGGTTGTCCCCAAGGTCCCTTAAGAGGCAACTGGGGGCCTGTGCCCCAGTGACCAGTACGGGCAGGAAGAGCAGTCCGGGGAGACCCATCCATGCTGGCTGCCATTGAGCTTGGCTAGACAGAGATGCGATGCCACCTGGTAGCTCAGCTGAGCTTGGGGTCCCTAGATGTGCCGGGTGGGTGGTGGATGAGGCCCCAGGACTGACTTCCGAGCTTGTCCTGGGGGCCAGGGGCAGGGCAGGAGTCCTGCAGCCTCTCGGGAATTTCTTCTGAAAGCACTCAATTAACTTCAGGTGAGGGAACACCCGTAGGGGGCCCGAAAGGCCAGGGAGGGGGGTGTAGTGGAACAATAGGTCAGTAGTAGTGCCAAGACTGCCAGCTCCGGGAGAGCCCTGTGCCCCTCACCGCCTCCCCGAGCCAGTGCCTGTCAGCCACGAGTGGCCGTGGCGGCTGCCAGCTTCCTTCCCTCCCCTTCCAGTGGAGGGCCCAAGTGGCTGCCCCTGAGCTCCTCAGGCTGGTCACCGCAGAGGATCCTAGAAGCCTGGCCAGTGTGGTTCTCCTCCGGACTCCTGCTGGGGGCTGCCCTTGGCTGGGGCTGTGCTGACCCCTCCTGGTGCCTGGTGGCATTGCACTGCCCCTAGAGCTTTCCCCTATTGCTGGGTCTGGAGGTGGATCCCTTCCCCTCTGCCGCCCACACAGCCACTGGTCCAGAACAGCTGCCCTGTGCCCACTGGGGGAGTGCGGTGCCCACCCTGCCCCCCACCCTGCCTCTCTTCCTGCTCCTTATCCAGTACCCAGTACCCAGTCCAAGTCACCCACCTGCTCTCCTCACTCTCCTGCCTGGAAATTTCCACGGCTCTCCAGTGCCTGTAGCAGGGGTTTTTGGACTTTGCTTTGTAGTCCCTGAGCCTTTTCTTTTTTAAGATTTATTTGAAATTCAGAGTGAGAGAGAGAGAGAGAGAGATCTTCCATCTACTGCTATGCTCCCCAGATGGCCACAATGGCTGGGCTGGGCCAAGCCAAAGTCAGGAGTCAGGAGCCACTCCCACGTGGGTGTCAGAGGCCTATAAACACTTGGGTCATCCTCCACTGCTCTTCTCGGGCCATTAGCAGGGAGCTGGATCAGAAGTGGAGCAGCCGGGACACAAACCAGCACCCATATGGGATGCTGGCATCTCGGGGGTGGCTTTATCCTCTACTCCACGCCAGCCCCTCCCTGAGCCTTGTGATCACAAGAAAAAGTTCATGTGACATCTCAGTCTATCAGACAGATGCAAGTGGGGCTGCTTTGGTTAAGACAGGCTAGGAGGCCTTGGAGTCCACCCTCTGGTCTGCACCTCCTGTGCCCAGCTCCAGGAAGCCCTAGGGTGCTGTGAAGTGCAGTCGGGAGAACACCTTGCTGGTTGCTGGATCAAGTTCAGCACAGTGTTCCGGGCCCTTTCAGGTCAGGCTGTGACTCCAGCCTCCTGGCCCGCCCCACCCATCGCATGGTCCCGGCCACCCAGGCCAAACCTTTGCCTTTCTCGTCGGTTGCTTCTGGCTGCCCTTTCTCTTGGGCCTGCTCCAGTCCCTCAGAGTCCAGTGTCTGGTGACTCCTCTTTATGATGCTTCCCCGGGCCCCAGCCAGAGTGACAGCTCGCTCTGCTGAGCTCCCACTGCCCCCTGTTCACAAAGAGCGCGTGGACTGTGGCGTTGTCCTGGGTCAGGGTGAGCCTGGACCCCTTGCTGGATCACGAGCCCCCTGAGGACAGGGGCCGCCCTACCCTTCTCGTCGTGGGAGATCAATGACCACATCCAGTGGCGTGCTGTGGAGACCCCAGGGCACTGGACACGTGTTTCCAGTTTAGCACATGCCTGCTGAGCCCTGCTGTGCCAGTTCCTGCTCGCTCTGACGAGGACGCTGGCCAGGACGGGCTCTGTCCCTTCTCACAGAGTGGGGAGCAGGGGAGGGTGCCTTGTAGGTGACATCCAGGTTGGCCTGGACAGCACTGGGGTTAGAAGCCAGCTGTCCAAGCTTTCACGGGTCACCAGAATGCCTGGGTCAGGGCCTGGTCTCCAGGGAGGGGGCCAGGCCCTGCTGACTTTGGGGGTGGGCTGTTTTCCAGGGCAGCGAAGGGATGCGAGGCCCATCAGGCATGCCTGGTCCCCCTGGGCCACCAGGACCTCCCGGGATCCAGGTGAGTGTGTGCCCTGTCAGCCCAGTGGGCATGTGGGGTGTATGTGTGTGTGTGCATGCGTGTGTGCACATGCGTGCATGTGTCTGTGTGGTAGGGGTGGGAGCTGGGTGAGGGGCGGGGTCAGGGGCAGCCCCGCCCAGCCTTGTGGGATTGCCTCTTTCCTGTCCCCAGGGCCCTGCCGGCCTGGACGGTCTGGATGGAAAGGATGGAAAGCCTGGCCTGAGGGTGAGACGGTGGGCTCAGGAGGACCAGCAGCCCCTCTGCTTCTTCTCTTCCCAAGAGCTGGTGTCAAAGGAACCCCAACAAAGGGAGCTGAAGTGTCCCCTGGCCCCATCAGCGAGCACCCTTGCCTTCCTTTGGTCTCTCCCCCACCTTTCCAGGGGCTCCGGAGCCCTTGGCCTCCAGTTCTCCTAGTGACCTTGACCGGGCTGGATGAGCCAGTGATGGGAGTGAGTTTCCATCCAGAACCTCGGCTGGTGAAAGAAACCAGGCTGGGTTTCTGAAAGAATCCAGCTGCAGACACGCAGGGCTTTAATCCAGTCCCGGCTCGTCAGGTCTCATCTTGCCAGGGAAGCTGAAGAGAGTGGGGTTGTGGCAAGGACAGACACCGAGGTCACTCTCTTCTGCACCCAGAGGAGGAAAACGGAGGCCCAGAGATGGGCCAGAGTCCTTAGGGCCCGAAGCAGTCAGGGAACGGTCCCACCCCCTGGGCTAGCTGGGAGGAGCTAGAGAAAGGGGTGGGCCGTGGCCACAACCCCTGTCTCAGTGCTGTTGCTCTCTTTCCCCAGGGAGACCCCGGCCCCGCTGGACCCCCCGGACTCATGGGACCCCCGGTAAGTTGAGCTGAGGAAAGGACGGGAATCTGGGAGGCTCCAAGCTGAGCAGCTGCTGCTGGGGTTGGGGGGTGGAGGGTGTGGCCTAGTTAGGACCGGGCTGGTTTTCTTTGTGTCGTCTGGTGAGGTGAGGGCTTTGACAGCTCCCTGCTTTCCCCTTCCAGGGCTTCAAGGGGAAGACAGGACATCCCGGCCTCCCAGGACCCAAGGTAAGGCCTGGTGACTTGGACCACGCAGTTTTTATCTGCTCTGCGTAAGACCTGAGCGCAGGCACACACAGCGACCTGGCCCAGCCTGGTCTGGGTGGAACTACCTGACCCTAAGCTGGGCTGCTGTCCCCACGGCTGGGCCTCCTGAGGCCAGCAGCTCAGGGCAGATTGGGTGGTGGTGGTGGGGGGTTGTGTGATGTGGGGCCGACTTGCAGTGGGAGAGCCACGTGGACGTGTAGTGAGCCCCAGCTGCCTCTCTCTCTTCTAGGGTGACTGCGGCAATCCAGGTCCGCCTGGCAGCAGCGGCCGGCCCGGCGCGGAGGTGAGGGCTGGGGTCTGCACACGCTGGCTTTAGATGGCGCTGGCCCTGCTCAGTCTCCTTCTGGCCAAGCAGCTGCCTTCTCTCCTGGGCCTTCCAGGGGAGCTTTCACCAACACTGTGTAACTTGAACCTTCTCCCTGCCCTTAATGGTTGTAGCTGGTTCCCCTCCCTAGAGGCTGCTAGGCACTCACCTTAACTGGCAGGCTCTGGCCTGTCGTGGGCCCTGGACAGCCTAGGGCTGCAGCCCCCAGCCCAGCCTGGCTCCTCTGGCCAGTGGCGTTTGTTCTCACCTGCCCTGCTCTGTTCTGTTCCATGTAGCAGCCACATGCATGCAAGTCGATCCACTTCTGTATCATTTCTTCTTTTTGTCTGGCTCCTGTAGGGTGAGCCTGGTGCCATGGGACCCCAAGGAAGACCAGGACCCCCTGGCCATGTTGTGAGTTAAACGGTTTCCGCGGCTGTCACAGTTGGGGCAGGGTGGTGGTGGCCTTCAAGAACGGCTCATAGGAGCTGCCCCAACCACCCAGAGCTAGAAAAGAGCTCAGGTTCAGTAGCCCCCAAACTTCTCACCACGTCCCTGCTTCCTGGGCACTTCACGTTCACTTAGCAGATGAAGGTCATGCAGTCAGTCAACAAATAACCATTGAGCACCTGCTCCACGCCAGGCACTGTTCCAAGCATTGGGTCAACCATGGGGTGCAAGATATACAAGGGTTCCCGCACAGGCCGGGCAAACACATCCCCGTGAAGGCATCAGGCGGTGGTGAGGCGTCGCAGAGAGGGGCTGGGGGTGACTTTAGAGGAACCCTCACTGCAGAAGTGGCGTGGGAGCTGAGGACGGCATGGAAGAAGGAGCCCGCGACTGAGCAGTGCTGCGGAGGAGAGTCCCGGGCAGAGGGGCCAGCACACACACAGAGCCTAAGGCAGCGGGGAGCTTGGGGTGTTGGAGGAAGCCCACGAGGCTCAGAAGGGCTGGGGTGTAGTCTGAGAAGGCAGGGGTTGGGGTGGGGAGAAGCTGGGCTTAGAGAAGGACACGGTGCAGCCGTGGAAGCTGCGTGGTCAGGAGTCGGGGGAGGGCACCCACAGGGCACGGAAGCCACGGATGGTGTCTGTTGCTGGGTTGAGGGGAGAGGCTGGGACAGATCTGGGATGTGTCAGGAGGTGGAGGCCTTGCTAAGGACCTGGACTAGGGTGGGGGTGGGGAGGGGTAGAGTAGTAGCACAGCTCCGGATGCCCTGTTCACAGACAGAAGGTGGGAGGGTCCTGTGGACCCCGAGCCCAGATCTCAGCCCCGTCAGCTCTGTGCCCGGGTCTGGCAGCAGCTCAAGTGTACCTGAGGGGAGGGAGGCTTTCAGGAGTAGAATGGAGGCGTGGGGGAAGCTTGGAGTCCCATCCTGCTGCTGGGCCCTTGCCTCCCCGGGGGCTTCCATCCCACTGAGTCCTCTCTCTCTAGGGGCCGCCGGGGCCTCCAGGCCAGCCAGGGCCAGCTGGGATCTCAGCCATGGTGAGTGACAAGCCAGAGCGGCACAGCAGTGGATCTCCGCTGCCACCTCCTCGTGTGGGACCTGGAGGAGGGTGGGGTCATGGGCCCTTGCACACAACAGGGTGTCATCGCTACACCTTCCTTTCCCTCTCACCACCCCCTCCTATTCTCTAGGGCCTGAAAGGAGACCGGGGAGCCACTGGAGAAAGGGGCCTCGTGGGCCTCCCGGGCCAGCCTGGCCCACCCGGACACCCTGGGCCCCCGGTAAGACCCCACGTGTATGGCGCAGCCTCGGGCAGAGGCTCCGGTGGCTTTGCCAGTTAAACCCAGCACGACCACCTGGGGTCTCCAGGGAGGGTCGCATCACGTTTGGAAAGTCAGGTGCACACACGGTCCTGCCTCTGCCCACGCACTGACGTCCACCCTCTGCAGACCCTTGCCCTGCCCCACGGGAGCTTTTGGGCAGCCACAGGGAAGCTCTGTAAATGTCAGCAACCAGAACCGCTGGGCCCTTCCTGTAAGTTGCTGAGCCTAGAAGCCCCCGCCGCCTGTCGGCTCAGGGTTAAGGCTCACAGCGATGCCGACTGTCACTGAGCCGGTGCTGAGCGGATGGGGAGCTCAGAGCTTGAGGGGCTTCCTGCACGGATGCGTGCCACAAGCCCGTTTAACAGCTCGGACTGTCCCCGTTTTACAGATGAGGAATCAGCAAGGTTACTAGGCTGCCCAGTCACGTGGCTGTGGGCGGGAGCGCTGTGTTTCCATCCACAGCTGCCCTGATTCCGCAACTTGGGTCCTTAGCCTCTCTTTCAGAAGTCCCAGGCAGGGGAACCCCATCAGCTGGAACTGCCTGCCAGTCTCGGGGACGACAAGTCTCCGGGGACAGCTGAGGCAGGGAGCAGGTCTCTCGGCACCCACAATGGCATGGTTTCCACCAACGCAGACTCCTGGGGAGCAGTAGCAATGCCCTTGGCTAGCAGCCTGGGATGGGGTGGATGACTCCAGCTGGTGCACTGGGGGCCCGTGGGTCCCTCTGCTGGGAAGACCTGGTCTCACCACCCCCACCCACTGATTCCATGGGGAGGCCCCTCCATCCCTGCCTCTCTCCCCTCCCCACCTGCAGGCCCAGGACTCCTCTACCCCTTGCTCCACAGTCACAGATTTCACCTCCCCGGCATCCCACAGAAGGGGGCCCGGTGAGGGAGGCAGCCTCTGTGTCCTGCATGGGGAGGCGGCTGGCTGTGGCTCACCCTAGCTGCTCTCTGGGACCTCACCCCCAGGCAGAGGCTTGTGGTTCCTGTGTTCATTCAGCAAACGTTTAACCCATTCCCAGCACCAGGGGATGTGCAAGGTGCAATCAGCAAGCCAGGCACAGTCTGTTTTTCCCTTCTAGAGCTCAGGGGAGCAGGGCCGGGACAGCTGGGAGCTGGCAGTGTGGGCTCCAGGCCAGGCTGGAGTGTGGGGTGGGGAGAGGTGCTGTGTGACAGCGTCACAGGGCCAGGGCTGGAGGGTCGTGGCTTCGTTGTGGAGCTGGGGCTGGGTACGTCCAGCGGGCTAAGTGATGCCAGGTGGGGTTGGAGCTCATGATGTCTCCATTGCGTTCTCCTCCCCAGGGTGAGCCCGGGACGGATGGTGCGGCCGGCAAAGAGGTACCACTGTGCTGAACTTCTCCTTTCCCTGGGGCTACTCCTGGACCCCTCGTATTCACAGGACACGTTCCCCGTGTGCACAGACTCTCTGGGCAAATACACAGGACACTGTAGCTCTTGCTGCTCTGGGAGAGGGGCGGGGACCAGAGGATGCAGGCAGGAGTTAGACCTGTTTCACGTCAGTCACATTCGTTACCCTGTACATGGCCAACAAGAACCGGCAGTGACAATGAACTGCGAACAAACAGCCGCTGGAGCCAGCTCTGGCTAGGCCATGCACAGTGCCCTAGATTGGCTGTCACCTCCGAACCCATGACGAACACAGCCAACGCAAGTGACTGCACAAGGCCGGGCCAGGGGACAGCACGCCCCCTGCCGGCTGTCAGCCCCTCTATGGGCAAAGGAGGCTGCTGGCCACTCTCACACAGAGCCCTACTGGGCCTGGCCCCAGGGTGCTGGCCAATTCACTGCACCGACTTCCCCAAGAAGCCTGGGAGATCCTCTCCGCATTTGACCTCTGACCTTTGCTTTTCTCTAGGGACCTCCTGGAAAGCAGGGACTCTATGGACCCCCTGGTCCCAAGGTGAGTAGGCAATGGCCAGGGCTGAGAGGAGAAGCTCATGAGTTGGTGAAGCCCAGTGGCGAGTTGTGACTTTAGCCATGGAGAGGACACACAGAGACAGAAGAAGAGCTGACGAACTTCTCACAGGGGGCCCTCCCGGGGTTCTTAGCTGGGGTAGGAGCCTGGACCTCGCCAGTTCACTCATTCATTGTTTGATTTATGCATTCATTCCTTTAAAAAAAAAAAGGTTTAGTTACTGATGTGAAAGGCAGAGTCACAGAGAGGGAGAGAGGGAGAGAGAGATATTTTCTGTCCACTGGTTCACTCCCCAAATGGCTGCAATGGCTGGGGTTGGTCCAGGCCAAAGCCAGGAGCCCAGAGCTCCATCTGGGTCTCCCACAAGGTTGGCAGGTGCTCAAGCACTTGGGCCATCCTCTGCTGCTTTCCCAGGTGCATAGCAGGGAGCTGGATCAGAAGTAGAGCAGTCTAAACTCAAATTAGTGCTCACATGGGATGCCGGCATTGTTAGTGGCTTCCCCCTCTGCACCACAAGGCCGCCCCTCACTCGCCTTTCTCATTCTACAACATCTGCTTGCTCCTGCTCGCGCTGCAGGCCCTCTCTCCCAGCCTTGGGTAAAGCGCTCTCTGCACTTTCACTAGAGGATGGCAAAGTTTCATGGGCGCAGGGGCCATGCAGCGCTGGGGGGTAGGGGCGATGGAGCAGCAACCGAGCCTGGACACTCAGGGCTGCGTGGGGATCAGGACGCTCGCAGAGGAGGAGTGCACTGGGCGGCGGCGAGGGGCAGGGCCTTGCAGGCAGGCAGGTGCAGCTACAGTGGAGGGCAGGGAGGCGAGGCTGAGGAAGGCGCGATCAGGGCCATGTCTCGAATGGTCTTGAACAGGCCAGGGAACCAGGCCTTTAGGCAGAGGGCACACGGGAGCCGGGAGAATCTCCAAGTGGGGGTAACCCTGTGAATGACAGAGGACCGCTATGGGAGTAGTGGGGCAGAGTGACGGGGAAGACGCTGGGGCTGCAGCCCACAGGGCCACGCTGGGGGCCTGCAGGGAGCATTGGCAGAAGGAGGCAGCTTGCTGAGAGACGCTGACATGGCCTTGACTGCGCCTGGTAATGCTAGACTGTGATTTCTGTCCCTGTAGGGCGATCCGGGACCTGCGGGGCAGAAAGGCCAAGCAGGAGAGAAGGGGAGAGCCGGCATGCCTGGGGGGCCTGGCAAGAGCGGCTCCATGGGGCCTGTCGGGCCGCCAGGTCCTGCGGGGGAGAGAGGCCACCCTGGGTCTCCGGGGCCAGCTGGGAGCCCTGGATTGCCCGGGGTGCCTGGCTCCATGGTAAGGGGTGCGGCTGGCAGCCACGGGCTCTCTACCAAAGAGCAGCATGTGGCATGAAGCGTGGGGCATTTTAGAAGCTGCCGCTGGCATTCTGTGGGCAAGAATGCAGCTCCGAGACACGGGGTAGAGTTCTGTGTGGGGCGGGGGGTGGGGTGGGGGTTGGGGTGGAGATGGGGGCTGCGGGGCGCTCCCCAAAGGGAGACACACTTCGGAGCAAAACGTTTGGGACCACTTCCGGGAGGTTGGGGCTTCGGACGAATACGCCGTGGTGGGGCTCCTGGAGCCTTGGCCTTCTCCTCCCTCCTTTCTGTTCATGAAGCCTGTCCCCAGGAGGAAGGCGCCAGGCTTGGGAGGATACTTGAGGCAGGTTCTCCTTTTTTCCCTCAGGGAGACATGGTGAATTACGATGAAATCAAGAGGTTCATCAGACAAGAGATTGTCAAAATGCTTGATGGTAATTGGCAGCCGGCTGCGTGGCTGTGGGTGCTGCTCGCCCGTCCCAGCCTCGTCCCACCCAGCCCTGGCCTCCTTTTCTTCAAGCTCCGTGTCCCTCACCTCCATCCCCTCCCACTCCCAGGCATGGGAGTTGACGGGCGCGTGTTCAATGATCCATCACACCTTCCCTGCCACCTGTGCCATTCAGAGATGAAACAGCTCCCTCCTCTCCTCCCCCAGCCCCCACTTGAGCGAAGCAGGCAGACAAGAAAATTGGTCTCAAATGATTCGGCATGGAGCAAGCGCCACAGAGAGAGGGGCGAGCAGCAGCTGTGCGCAGCCTGCGGTGGTTTGAGCTTCCCCCCACCCCGCTCATTTGTTCTCCAGTGTTGATGGCGCTAGGGACTGGGGACAATATGGATGCCGACCCAAAGGGGCTGGGCACCTTGCCTGGGAGGCAGACCCTGAGTGTCAAGCCAGGAGTCTGGAGCTTATCCTGAAGCCAGCGGTGAGCCAGGGGAGGCTGTGGCAAAAGGCAGGTGCCGCGGTCAGGCCTGCGCACCTGCGAGAACTCTGTGGAAAGCCAAGTGGAGGCCAGGGCAGGGACCCGCGCCCCACCCCCACACTCCCGGCTCCCACACCCTCTGAGGAAAGGCTGCTGGTGCAAGCTGAACCGTGGGGCCGCCCCGTGACCTGTCCTCGTCCTCTCTTACAGAGAGGATGGCCTACTACACCTCCAGGATGCAGTTCCCCATGGAGATGGCAGCGGCTCCAGGCCGGCCCGGGCCCCCCGGGAAGGATGGCGCCCCGGGCCGGCCAGGCGCTCCCGGGTCACCGGGGCTCCCCGGTCAGATTGGCAGAGAAGGACGGCAGGGCTTGCCAGGAATGAGAGGTAGCTTGTCCCGCCACTTCCCTAGGGGCGGGTGCAGCTCCGAGAGGCAGGCCTGAACGTGACAAAAACGCACGAGGGCTGCCGCGAACATGGGCCCGAGTGTACGTGTATCTCCCGAGCTACCCGATGGGCTGCGCCCTGCTTCTGCTCAAAGATAAGACGCCTCTTCTTTCTTTTGTCCCAGGACTACCTGGCACCAAAGGTGAAAAGGGGGACACCGGTGTTGGCATTGCGGGAGAAAATGGCCTGCCTGGCCCCCCAGGTATGAATAAGCAGCATTGAATTGAGAGCAGCAGGGAGCCCCCCCCCATGTGGTAGTTGTGTAGAGCTTTGAACAGCTACCAGCCCATCAACTCCCCGTTACGGTGATGCCACTGTGTGTAAGACAGTGGGGCCTGCGGGAGCCAAAGACCCAGTTCTGGCCTCAAGTGCTAAGTGGGGCTAGCCTGTCGCAGGGGAGATGGCTGCACGTACGGACTCAGCGTATCTTGCTGGCTGTGTGACCTTGAAGAGGTCATTTCTATTCTCAGGGTGGCTCTCTCAGATGCACACTTCTCCGTGTAGCCTGAAAGGAAGGGCCGGAGCCTGACCCCGTGGCCCTGAGACCCAGCTCCCCACCTGCCAGATGTGTGCCCTCTCTGAGCCTGAGCCCTCTCTCAGAGAATCATTGTGCAGAGGCAATGGATAAGGAAGCGAAAGCACTCGGCCTTGTGCCTGGCACGTGGAAGCTCTTAATAGCGTTGTTAATTCCATGGGAGGCTCGGGTGTCCACGGAAGGTAGTCACCAAGTGTAAGCTTCCTTCTCCCATGGCCATGCTGTCTTCTTAGGATCGGGGTCTCCTGATTTTCCTTCTGTGACTCTTTCCTCCCTAGGTCCCCAAGGGCCTCCGGGGTATGGCAAGATGGGTGCCACAGGACCCATGGGCCAGCAGGGCATCCCTGGCATCCCTGGCCCCCCGGGGCCCATGGGCCAGCCAGGCAAGGCGGGTCACTGCAACCCCTCGGACTGCTTTGGAGCCATGCCAATGGAGCAGCAGTACCCACCCATGAAAACCATGAAGGGGCCTTTCGGCTGAAGTCGCCGCCACCCGGTGGGAGATGAAGGAATCCATTGGGGATAAGTGGCCAAAGCTCCAGGACTCTGTGATGGGTTGTGAATGTTTCGTTGTTGTTGTTTTTAATTGCTGTTAATATTTTTTTAAACAATAAAGAAACAAAAGGATCTGCAATCCCACGTCCAGTGGGGTGCCTCCGGTGCTGCAGCCTCGTCTCCCTGTCCTCCTCCTCTTCTCATCCGATCCCAGGCCCCTCGTTGTGTGTGGTCAGCCCGTGGAGTTGTGGCTGCTGCTGCATGGGGCTCAGCTCCCCTCTCCAGAGGCTTCTGATGCGTTCTTTGGCCCTCGGGACCTCGTGTCCTGTCCTCCAGGGCACGCTTTTATCCAGTCAGAGAAGGGACAGCACTCAACCTCTCCTCTTGAGTGGACCAGAAGCAGGTCTGAGCGGCTGGTGTGGTGACACAGCAGGCTAAGCCATGACCTGCAGAGCCAGCTTCCCATAGCAGAGTGCCAGTTCCAGTCCTGACTGTTCTGCTTCCAATCCGGCTCCCTGCTAATGTGCCTAGGAAGGCAGCGGAAGATGGCCCAAGTACTTGGGAACTACCACCCAAGTGGGAGAGCAGGATGGAGTTCCTGGCTCCTGGCTTTAGTCTGGCACAGACCTGGCTGTTACAGCTATTTGGGGAATGAATCGATGGATGGAAGATTCTCGCTGTCTCTCCTCTCCCCCTCTCTTCCTATTGCTCTGCTTTTCAAATAAATCTTAAAAAAAAAAAAAAAAAAAAAGGCAGGTTGGAAGACCTTGCTTCCAGCTCATGAAGGCCTCTCCCTGTTTGCTGCCCCACCCACCCTCCTCACTTTGGGTGACCCTAAGCCAATCCAGGTTGCACCCTGTGAAACACCCCCTCCCCGCAGCGCTGAGGCGTGTTCACCTGCCTGGAAGCCCCTCTAAGAACACAGGCTCTTCGTGACGCTCCAGTAATCCTGCAATTAGAGAGCCTGTGCAAATGGGAGGACGGGCAGGCCCAGCCCCTGCCTGGGCAGCCAGGGACCGCTTGTCTGGGAAATGAGACGGAACCTCCTGCCTGTACGTGAAGCATGGCTTGGCCACCAGCTCTGCACGGAGCATGTCAGGCGCGGACTTTTGCCGTTCTTTGTCATTCTAATGCATGGGAGTGCTTTTCCTGGACATCTTAGCCCAGACCTTCAGGAACAGCTGGGTGGTATCCGTGCAAAAGCGGTCACGGGCCAGACACGACACGATCTAAGCTGCAGTCCACCGGGAGTCCCATGCTCTATCTGCCATCTCCTTCTCCATGGGTAAACAGCCAGGGAACGGAACATCATAGAATCATGCTTTCTCACCCACAAGCTCTGCCTTCTCTGCTTCTCAGATCGCCTGCCCTGATGGGCCCGCTGCCCTGTGGGAAAGCAACAGGACACACCCGGGGGACTTCCACAGAAAGCCTTTTTGAATGGCCCTAGCATTCTGGAAAGTTTATTCGAGCTGGATAAACTTCAAAGGCCTCACACAGCAGGCTGGGAAACGTACCCAGAGTCTAGATGCTCACCCAAGCTGCCTGAGGCCTTCAAACTGATGTCAGACGGCTCCAGAGCTGGCATTTCCAGCGCATTGTTGAGAATTTCCTTGTCTGGTTGGGCCCCAAATACCCAGGGAGCCAGCCTCTTGACGGCTTTTCAGGACCTTTGCTCTATTTCTTTCCTGCTGGGAGTGGAGGTGTGCCTGTGTCCAGGGACTGGAACCAGGCAGACTCTTGGGCGTGCCTGAGGGTCGCCTGTGATGATTTTAGGAAGAGGAGGGGTCGATCCTTTTTCCACCCCTCAGTCTGGTTTTAACAGAAAACATTAAAAAGCGAGTGCATCATGTTTGCATTGAAGTAGCAGCCAGGGTTTGGACAGTGGATGAGGACAGATGTTAAAGCACTCCCATTGGAAGGCCGGCCTCCACTTCCCGTCCAGGCTGCGGAGTGCTGCCGGCTGGCCGGCCCCGTCATCAGGAGCTCGCTGGCGCCAGCAGAGAGGACGAGAAGCAAGGAGCAGCTGTTGCATTGGCTTTGAAGGCCGGGGTAGGAGGAATGGCCGTGGGGAAACATCCCACGCGGCCCCTTGCAGGGTCACCAGGGAATCCATGCTCGCAGAGTAAATGACGCTTTCTCCACTTTTCTCCCCGAGTCACACGCAGGCTACTCCTGGGGAATTCGACGACAGGCTGGGTTTAAGCTTTCATGATTTGAGTGCCTTCCTGGAGTTGGAAATTGCTGTGTTTTCTTGGACCATGAAGAACCAGATGGAAAGCTGAATTTTATAGTCTCTTCTTCCATGGTCAGCAAAAAAATGCGCGGCTCTAGCTCATCAGTTCAGGAGCTGGTAAGCCAGGGAGAAGGAAAGGAGGGGCAGGCCGCCCACGCCGCCCACCCCGCCCGGGCCACCTTCCCACCCCGCAGTTCTCCTGTCTTCATTCCTTCCTCTAGTCCAGGCTTTGAAGGTGACACACTGGTCATTCAGGTGGGCAGAGTTTACCTTGATGTGTCATTTCCCCTCCCTACTTTGTGCCAGAAGCCAAGCTAGGCTCTGGGGATCCAGGCAGATATGGTCCCTGCCCCACAGTACCTACAGGTGGAGCAGAGAGAAATCAGCAATTCCAGTGAAGTGGGCGGAAGGGGCAGTAACAGGTGCCGGGGGAGTGAACAGCTGGGGGACCCAGCCGTGTCTAGACAGCGATCGATCCAGGCAGAGGAAACAGCATGTGCCAAGGTCCAGAGTTGATTGAGCACAGCAGGCTGAGTGGCAGGACACAGGGCAGCGGGGCTGGATTGCTGAACAGGAGCAGGGAAGGCACGGTGGGAAGCTACTGATGGGTTTTCCGCCGAGGTACGTTGAGTCAGGTTGGCCTACAGGGGGCGCTCACCAGCGGCCATGTGAGGATGGGCTGGCTGGCCTTTGCAAAACCTTCCACTCTGTAAAATGGAAAATAAAGGCTGCTGCATATTTATTAGAGAAAAATCCCAAATTTGATGCCTTCTGGAATTTAAATCTTTGTCATAATATTTTCCTCTGTCACCAGAACTCAACAGAATCTAATTAGTCTGCCTTCACATGTGGTCTCTTAACCCCTTACACGACTAGATTGTGGTTGCTGTTGTTGCTGTCCTACTAAATAGTTCACGGGAAGAGAAGATGCATCAGTGGGCCGCCCTATCATGGAAGGGGAGTGGGGCCAGATCGCCACAGCTGCTGTTCTCGTTTTGCCACGGTTTGTACGGAAAGTTGCAAATCACCTCCACCCCCTGTCCTGACCCACCACATCACAACTGGAATTTAAATTTCAGAAGTAGATCTGGTTGGAATCAAAGAGAATCAATTCCACAGTCATTAGGGGGATGCTGGTATTCTTTCGCAGCCAGGCAGCCGGGAGCTGGCACCGAGCCAGGCGGCTGCGGGCAGTGTCTCTCCGGGGGAGGCAATACTTTTCAGCCCGTGGGCCTTCCATTTCCAAGGCTGCCTCACCTCCACCGGGTCAACCACGGGGCTGCCGTGAACTGAGGACAGGGCTCTGTGCTCTGCAAAGGCTGGGATCCAAGTTCTCCCCTTTTGGCTGAAACAGAAACAATACCAGGCATTTCCCCACCCACCTCTGTCTGCCTCAGGTAGTTGAGGTTTAGAAAAACAGTTGATTGTTTTTCAGTCTTGGGAACTCTCTGATCTCCTCCATCCAGCTCCCTCCAAGACAAACACACCTGGGCCTGCTGTGTTCCTTAGAGAAGCAGCCCTGGGTGTTGGGTTTGGCTGGTCTCTTTGGCTGCCTGGGAGTAGACCTGGATGCCCCCAGAAAGCACAGACCTCCTGCGGAACAGTCCCCTAAGAGCCCTTTGCTGGGTGGAGGAGAGGGGTGAGGACAAAGAATTCTTACAGGGGTTGAATCCCCATCGCCTAGGACCGAGCCCGGCAAGTGGTAGGGACCCAGAAGTCTAACACGGCTGTGGATGGATGAATGCATACGAGCCTGGGTTGCCGGCCAGGTGTCACCGTGCTGTCTCCAGGAAGACAGCCACTGGGTCTTCAGCGGGACTTCAGGGCTTCTTTCTGAGACTTTATAATTCAAATCCACCAAGAGTTTTTGCGGGGGGCTGGTGGTGTGGTGCAGTGAGTGAAGCAGCAGCCTGCAGCACCGGCATGCTGTCTAGCCACTGGTTCATGTCCCGACTGCTCCGCTTCTGATCCAACTCCCTGCTAACGTGCTTGGGAAAGCACCCATGTGGGAGACCCCAAAGAAGCTTCTGGCTTCTGGCTTTGGCCTGGCCCAGCCCCGGTCATTGCGGACATTTGGGGAGTGAACCAGCAGATGGAAGATCTCTCTCTCTCTCACTCTTGCTCTTGTGTTGTATCTCTGCCTTTCAAATGAATAAATAAATCTTCAAACAAAAGTTTTTGGACTGGAAAGGAGTTTATAAAGGTAAAGAAGGCACGACCTCCTAATTTTTTTTAAAAAGATTTATTTATTTATTTGAAAGGCAGAAATACAGATAGAGAAGGAGAAAGAGAGGAAGAGATATTCGATCCACTGGATCACTCCCCAAATGGCCAAAACGGCCAGGGCTGGGCCAGGCTGGAGCCAGGAGCCAGGAGCTTCATCCGGGTCTCCTACATGGGTGCAGGGGCCCAAACTTGGGCCATCTTTGGCTGCTTTCCTAGGCACATTAGCAGGGAGCTGGATTGGAAGCAGAGCAGCCAGGACTCAAACCAGCACCCAAATGGGATGCTGGCACTGCAGGTGGAGGCTTAACCTATCATGTCACAGTGCCACAGCTGTGACCTCCTATTAAATAATGAGTAGTTAAAATAGTATGGTCTTTGGCTTATTTTTTAATTTTTAAAAATATTTATTTATTTGAAAGGCAGAGAGAGTGACAGAAAGGGAAACCCAGAGAGAGAAAAAGATCTTCCATCCACTGGTTCACTCTCCAAATGGTCACAACAGCTGGGGCTGGGCCAAGGTAAAGCCAAGAGCTAGGACCTCCATCTGGGTCTTCCACATGGCTGGCAGGGGCCCAAGCACTTGGACGGTCTTCCTCTGCCTTCCCAGGTGGAGTAGCGGGAGCTGGATGGGCAGCAGAGCAGCTGGGACCAGAACCAGCATGCCGACATGGGGTGCCAGCATCACAGGCAGCAGTTTAGCCCACTGTGCCACAACACCAGCCCCCGGACCTGGGTTTGGATCCTGGCTTCTTCATTTATGATTTTGGATATTAAGGAACTCATTAAACTTCTCAGGGCTTCAGTTCCTCGCTATAAATAGGTACCAGCATCTATCGCCAAAGACTGTGGTGAAAATGAAACAGTACAGTGTCTCATAATAACACTACCAACTGACACTTGTCGGATTCATGCCAGGTGCTGTTCCAGGGGCTGGGCATAGAGAAGTAAATAAAAAAAAGACAATCCTATAATACACATGGAAACTTGTCATATACATGTACATCTTAAAGACAATAATTCAAGTAGTAAAAAACATTATGGGGCCTAGAGCTGTAGTGTAGCAGGTGAAGCCCCGGCCTGCAGTGCCGGCAAGCCATATGGGTGCTGGTTCCAGTACCCACTGCGCCGCTTCCAATCCAGCTCCCTGCTAATGGCCTGGGAAAGCAGTGGAGGATGGCCCAAGTGCTTGGGTCCCTGTATTCATGAGGGAGACCTGCGAGAAGCTCCTGTCTCCTGGCTTTGAATCAGTCCAGATCCAGCCATTATGGCCATCTGGGGAGTGAACCAGTGGCTGGAAGTCCTCTCTCTCTCTCTCTCTCTGCCTCTCTGTAACTCTGCTTTTCAAATAAATAAATAAGTCTTTTTTAAAAATCATTATGAAAACATAAGATAAAGTGGTATGATTGGCTGGAATGTGTGTAGGGAGGCACTGTGCTTTAAATGTGGTGTTAAGGAATATCCCTCCCTCCCTCGCTCCTAGGGAGTGATATTTATTTTTTTGAAAAAATTCTTAGTGGGGCTGAAGCTGTGGCTTAAAGGGTTAAGCCACTGCCTGTGGTGCCGGCATCCCATATGGGCAATGGTTTGAGTCCCGGCTGCTCCACTTCCAATCCAGCCCCCTGCTAATGCACCTGGGAAAGCAGTGGAAGATGGCCCAAGTGCTTGTGCCCTTGCACCCACGTGGAGACCCAGAAGAAACTCCTGGCTCCTGGCTTTGGACCCACCCAGCTTCTGCTGTGTAGCCATTTGGGGAGTGAACCGGAAAATGGAAGATCTCTCTCTCTCGGTCTCCACCCCCCTCTCTGTAACTCAAAAATAAATGTTTCAAATAAAATAAACCAATCTTTGAAAAATTTAATCGTAATTGTACAAAAATTGTATGGGCTACAATGTGACATTAACACCTATGTACAATGTGTACTGATCAAATCAAGGCAATCAGCATTTCCCCTTCTCTGACATTTCTTTATGATTGGAGGCTTAGAGCTTCTTTGGATCGTTCACACAGTATCTGCTGGGTTACTGTGACCTGTAATTTCCCAGCCATGCTGTGTAACACCAGAAACTCATTCCTTCCACTGAACTGACTTGGTACCTGCTATCCAAAGTCTTCTATCCCTCTCTACCCCTCCCAATCTCTAGTAATCACTTTCTTGTGATCAGATTGTGTTGTTGTTGTTTTTTAGAAAAATTGGAATGCTTCACAAATGTGGTGTCACTCTTGTGCAGGGGCCATGTGTCGTTCCAATTTTAGTATGCATGCCGCTGAAGCCAGCACAGGAGGTGATATTTGAACGAAGACCTGGATGACAAAGAGAAGCCCACCAGGGAAAAGTAGCTCAAACAGAGGCAAGCGCTAACCCAGAGATCTGGAGGCAGGAATGAGCTCAGTATGTTCCCGGGCAACGGGCCGAGTGGTGACTGGGCCAGCGTGGCTGGCGTGAACAAAGGAGACAGCAGGGGCAGGAAGTGAGGCTGGAGTTGCGGGCAGGGTCTAGGTCAAGTAGGGCCATCAGAGTCATAAGGATGGGTTTGGATTTGATTACAAGAGTGATGGGGCTGGTGCCGCAGCTCACTAGGGCTAATCCTCTGCCTTGCGGCGCGGGCATACCGGATTCTGTCCCGGTAGCCCCTCTTCCAGGCCAGCTCTCTGCTATGGCCAGGGAGTGCAGTGGAGGATGGCCCAAGTACTTGGGCCCTGCACCCCATGGGAGACCGGGAGAAGCACCTGGCTCCTGCCATCGGATCAGTGCGGTGCGCCGGCCGCAGCGCGCCAGCCGCGGCGGCCATTGGAGGGTGAGCCAACGGCAAATGGAAGACCTTTCTCTCTGTCTCTCTCTCTCACTGTCCACTCTGCCTGTCAAAAAAAAAAAAAAAATTGTGATGGGAAGCCCCTGGAGAAGTTCAAGCCAATGAATGACGTGATCATTTTAAGACAGTCTCTCTGGCTGTCCTGCGGAGTGGAGCGGGGTGGAGGGGGAAGCGGGGATGCTGTTGCAGCAATCCTTGTGCAGATGACCCTGTTGTGGCATGGTGACAGTGCACAGGGAGAAGGGCAAGTGCAGGGTGGGGCAAATGCAGGAGGTTAGAAGGGTGGGGTTGGAACTAAGCCTTGAAGGACTGGAGAAGGGAGGGTTTTGCTGGCCCAGGTGAACGGAGTGGCTTGAGCATAAGTCTGGCCAATGGCTGGGGCAAGAAGCTCACTTTCAAGTTTACTTGTTTCTGACAGCTGAGAAAACTCAGATTCAGAGAGGCTAAGTAACTCCCCCAGGTCACACAGCTGGGTGAGAACAGCAGGGCCGGCGCTGTGGCGTAGTGGTAAAGCTGCCGCTTGCAGTGCCAGCATTCCATATGGGCATCAGTTCACGTCCTGGCTGCTGCACTTCTGAATCAGCTTCCTGCTAATGTGCCTGAGGAAAGCAGCGGGGGAAGACCCAAGTGCTTGGGCCCTCTCACCCACGGGGGAAACCTGGAAGAGGCTCCTGGCTCCTAGCTTTGGATCGGCCCTGCGCTGGCCATTGCGGCTATTTCGGGAAGTGAACCAGTGGATGGAAGATCTCTCTCTCTCTCCCTCTCTCCTTCTATTTCTCTGTAACTCTGCCTTTCAAAAAAATAAAACAAAATCTTTTTTTTAAAAAAAGTGGTAACACCAAAATCTTCACTGTGAAGCAAGAGTGCTGACCCGCGCATGCCGTGGGGCATGGGTGTCAAGTGTGGACGACTGGAGCCGTGGACTGGAAGGCCATGTTGGGCCCGACTCTGCAAGGCCTGGAGAGCTAGGATGAAGAATGGGCCCATGTTCCATGGGTGTGACTGAAGAGCACCCACTGCAAGCTGTCCAGCGGGCAAGGAGCATGGTCAGTGCCATGGTTTTAGGAAGTGCCCGGCTACGCGGTTAGATAGATGGGCTGCACTGGATTACAATTCAGAACACCAACCTACTCGTTATTTACTAAAAACTCAGTGCCAGGCTCCGTACCAGGAACCCACAGCAAACGAGGGCAAATCGCTGCCTCTCAGGAGCAGTTTCCTCATTTATGAAGACAAAGGGCATGGGATAATCTTATTTTCTGCCAACCCTGCGGTTTAATATTTTCTTCTGTACCTAAAAGGTAGTCGATACAGGTGAAATTGGCACTTTGAGATGCGATGACTTTGGACAGCCCTTGTCTCGACTGTTGAGGAAGAGTTTTTTTTTTTTTTTTTCATACTATCTGTTGAACTCTTTACTTAGTGTAGCTAATCTTGTGTGTACAAAGTTTATTGAGAGGGGGCTGGCGCTGTGGTGTAGTTGGTAAAAAGCTGCTGCCTGCGATGCCGGCATCCCATGTGGGCACTGGTTGGAGTCCCAGCTGCTCTACTTCCAATCTCTCTGCTGTGGCCTGGCAAAGCAGTGGAAGATGGCCCAACTTCTTGGGCCCCTGCACCGGCGTGGGAGACCCGAGGGAGGCTCCTGGCTTTGGATCGGCTCAGCTCCAGCCGTTGCGGCCAGTTGGGGAGTGAACCAGCGGATGGAAGACCTCTCTCTCTCTCTCTGCCTCTTCCTCTCTCTCTGGGTAGCTCTAAATTTCAAATAAATAAATAAATCTTTAAAAAACTGAGAATAGATCTTAGTGGAAAATAAGAATGGGAACAGGAGTGGGAGGAATAGGAAGGGTGGCAGTGCAGGTGGGAAGAATCAGTATGTTCCTAAAGTCGTATTTATGAAACGCATAAAGTTTGTATACCTTAAACAAAAGGTTTCTGGGTAAAAAAACACTTTCTTCTCCCAAAAACCTCAGATTTTACACCACTCCACGGCTACCGTCACCTGGTGCCTTAGAGCAGTGATTCCACCATCGCCTGTCCCTTCCAGGAGGCCGCAAGCAGTCCCCCGTCGTCATGGCAACAGTCGTCCCAGCTAGGCGGAAACTTGGCGTGACGACAGCAACTACGCCACTATCATGCGTCCCCTTTTCCAGGTTATAATATGGCCACCGCAGCTACACAGAACCCGGATTTTCTCACTAAATACTCGGGCCTCACCAGCCCTGAAGCCTACTCCAGGTCAGGAAAGAGAGGAACACACATGCCAAGACAGCTGCCAAAACTTCCGGAAACCTCCGCCCAGAGCTAAGCTCCTCTGGTCAGGCGGGAAGAAGGCCCCCACCCTGTAGCGTCACTTCCGTCGGCCAACATATTTAGGATTGACAGTCACGGGCGTCCACTGAAAAGCGGGTCCGCCCCCCGGTTTACGCAAAGGGCGGGTTTGAGAGCATGAAGCCCCGCCCCTCGTTGACGTGTGACGTCATAGTCGCCATGGCGAGCTATCCGTACGGGCAGGTGAGTGTGTGAGGGGTTGGTGAGTGCAGATAGGGGCCGTGCCAGGCCCAAACTGGGGGTCTCCTCAGCTCTTCTTCCCCCGGCTTTCACCGCGTGCTTTCCACGCTGAAAGTTCGCTTCAGCGAAGCTTCGCGCGAGAGGGAAGGGGAAAGGCACGGTCGGTCGCACCCGGCTCACGTCATACGGGACAGCGCGAGTGGGCTGTCTTGTCGCGCCCCCTCTGACGTCGCGCCTGCGAGAATTTGGAGGCCTTGGACCCCGCCTGGGCTCTGCGCGCTCCCTCAGGCCCCGAGGCCCTCGCGGGGAACCCGGGCGGGCTCTTCAGCGGAGCTCTGTTTCCTCTGGCATCATCTGGGGCGTGGGGTGGGGAAGCAGCAGGTGTCCGGACCCAGCCCACACGCAGTGCTGGAGACTAATCGGGGTTCTGTGGTTGAGCTGGTTTGACTGCTGTGTAACACGTCCATTTTCCGCAGGGAGAGTGAAGCCCCGACGGCGGCGGGCGGTTTAGGTAGCAGAGCTGAGGTCCGCCGGGCCGGGCTGGCCGTGGCCAGAGCTCTATGTGGGTGACAGAATAGGAGGTGATTAAGTGCAGTTTGGAGTCAGAGGAGGGTCTGCCCCAGGCTCCATCAGTAGTCTTGAGCCCTTGAGCAAGGTGTTTTGTCTCTCCAAGCGAAGTGCCCTCTCTAGAACAGCGCCGGCTCAGACGCCGAGTCATGGAGCTGTTAGACCCAGGCGAGGCTTGTGAAGCGGGGGGCACCAGACTCCTAAAAGCTCAGTGCTAGGAGGGCCCCCAAAATGGCCCCCTCGTTTTACAGAGGAGGCTGAAACCCAGAGAGGGCCCTGCATTGTCCACGGTTGCACATCAGGAAACATCAGACGGTGACCAGATGGGATATTACAGAGCACCAGACGGAGTGTAGTTTGGTCACGTGCCTAAAGATGCGGTGCCAGTCCTTCCCGGGAGAGCAGCCTTGTGCTGTTGACACAGCGTCTGGAGCCCCGTTTTCCAGGGGTGGACGCCCCGGAGGCAAGCAGGGGTTACTCGGGTTACTCCCCCCCCCCCCCCAGCTGAGGGAAGAAGTCAGGTGGCTTGACAGAGGTCACACCCAGCCAGTGAGGCCAGGGCTGGAGCTTAGAACCCCATTCATTGCTGGATTGGCACAGGTAGGGAGGAGAGGGACCAGTGAGGGCTGGGGGCAGGAGGAAGTAGAATGGAATAGTGTTTCCCAAACTCGTTCCATTGCTGAGTTGTGGGGTCCAGTAGATAATTGCCATTAGAGGAGGATCCTAGGGTCAAGTAAGTTTGTTCATGGAGAACTTCAGAATTTTTTAAAGTTGTTTTATTGCAAAAGCAGAGAGAGAGACATTTTCCATCTGCTGGCTCACCCCTCAAATGTGTATGACAACCAAGGCTGTGTGGGGCCAAAGCCAGGAGCCCAGAATTTGATCTGGGTCTCTCCCATGTGGGTGACAGGGACCCAGGTACTTGAGCCATCATCTGCACCCTCCCAGGGTGCACCTCAGCAGGAAGCTGGCTGGGGAGCAGAGCAGCCAGGATCCAACTAGGCCCTTCCACATGGGACACAGGTGTCCCAAGCCGCGGCTTAACTGCCTTTTAAAAAAACTGGTCATTTTTGTGGTGACGTTAGGATTCCCGAGTAACACAGACTGGGAAATCATGGCCACAGTGTGTTGTTTCTCAGTGGCTGGTCCTAAGCATCGGAATCACCAGAGAGCTTGTTAAAAATACACTTTTGGGTCCCATCTCTGACATGTTCTAGGCCCAAAAATGGCCCAGGAAACTGCATTTTAATAAGCTTTAGGGGTGGTTTTGTATGCAGCTAAGGAGCAACGACAGGTTAGGCAGAGCTGGGCTAGACTCTTTTTTTTTTCTTTTTTTAAAGATTTATTTATTTGAAAGGCAAGGTTACAGAAAGCAGAGAGAGAGAGAGAGAGGAGAGGTGTCTTCCATCCGCTGGTTCACTCCCCAAATGGCTACAACAGCCAGAGCTGAGCCGATCTGAAGCCAGGAGCCAGGAGCTTCCTCCAAGTCTCCCAGGTGGGTGCAGGGGTCCAAGGACTTGAGCCATCCTCCACTGCTTTCCCAGGTCAGAGAGCTGGATTGGAAGTGGAGCAGCCAGGACTCGAACCGGCGTCCACATGGGATGCCAGCTCTGCAGGCGGCGGCTCCCGGGCTGGACTCTTAATTACCATGTGCCTTAGACAAGCTAGACTCTGAGCCGCAGTGTCTTCAGCTATAAAGAGGAACAGGAGCTGTGCTAATACCTGATCAGACCTTCGCTAACAATGCAGTGACCCTGGGAGTCCTCTCACTGTCTTCCCCCGACTTCCCCACAGCCCAGATTCCGCCTCAGTTGGTGGCTGTCCCGCCTGCATCTTGTGCAAGCTGGAAACCTGTTAAAAGGGCTGAAATGAGGATGAAATGTAATGACACCTATGTAAGGGAGCTTGCCACGTTGTTGGTACACAGCAAATGCCAATGCATAGTGGTAGCTCTTGGTGCCGCAGTTGCTGTTATGCCACACTCCCTGGGCTCTGCCCGTAGTGAACTGCTGGATAGGTGTGCAAAGAACAATGTGTAGAAATCCTCCAAGTGGGAGAGTAATGCAGACATGTAAATCCTACGTAGAATCGGAGTGATCAGTGGTAAATGGGAAGTGTAAGGTTCTAGGACAGAATGGGAGGCTTACCTAACTCAGTCTAGGGGTTCTGGAAGACTTCTTTAAAAAAAAAAAAGATTATTTAAGAAGGAGGCATGGAGAGAGATACCCTCCATTCACTGATTGACTCCTCAAAAGGCTGGAACAGCTAGGTCTGGACCACACTGAAGCCAGGAGCTCAGAATTCCATCTGAGTCTCCCACATGGGTAGCAGGGGCCCAAGTGCTTGGGCCATCTTCCACTGCTTTCCCAGGTGCATTAGCAGAAAGCTGGATCAGAAGTAGTGCAGCTGGGACTTGAACCGGCGCTTCGATATGGGGTGCTGGCATTGCAAGTGGTGGTGTAACCTGCTGTACGATGCAGGCCCTAAGGAGAATTCTTAAAAGAGGTGGCAGTTGGGGCCAGCACTGTGGCGTAGTAGGATGAGCCTCTGCCTGTGGTGCTGGCGTCCCATGTGGATGCCAGTTCGAGTCCTGGCTGCTCCACTTCTGATCCAGCTCTCTGCTAGTAACCTGAGAAAGCAGTGGAAGATGGCCCTGGTGCTTGAGCCCCTGCACTCATGTGGGAGACCCAGAAGAAGCTCCTGGCTTTGAATTGGCCAAACCCCAGCTGTTGTGGCCGTTTGAGAAGTGAACCAGTGGATGGAAGAACTCTCTATCTCTCCCTCTCTCTATAGCTCTGCCTCTCAAATAAATAAATAAGTCTTAAAAAAAAAGAAAAAGGTAGCAGTGAAGACAAAAACTGTATTACTAGTAGGAGTCAGCTGGGTGAAGAAGGGAATAGTAACCCAGTAGAGGAACTAGTGGACAAAGACCAGGGAGCAGGGGAGGGCCCAGTGTTCTGGAGGAACTTTGGGGAGATGATCAGTCTAATTGTGGTGAGAAAGAAAAGAGATAAGAAATGAGACCAGAAAGATAAACCATCGCCAGCTCCCACAGGACCTTGTATGCTTTTTGGGGGAGTGTGGCTTCACCCTGCGGAGAATGTGGGAGCCGGTGAGAGGCTTTGTCCCGTTTGTGAGAGAATGGATGGGAGCAGCAGACTGAGGCCAGGAGAGCAGTTCAGAACTCTGAAAGGAATCCAAGCTAAGGAGAGCAATGCTCTGGGGGAGGCGGAGTCACGGTGCCCTACTGAGTGATGGTGGGGAGGAAGGAGGACTGCCGGGGGCGTGTGAAGGCTGTGGGTTTGGGGAACGGCGAAGGCAGTGCTGTTCCCTGAGGTGGCGCAGAGAGGGATAAAAGGTTTGGGAGAAAGGGCCAGGAGGAAGGGCTGCCGCTCTGAAGAGACGGCGCGCGAGTGCATGCACAGTAGTGGTGGTTGAAGTCTTGGACTCTTGGCTCCTTGCTGGATGGTTGTGTGTTTCTGTCTTAAATATTTTAGGCTCTGCTGGTGCATGCCCAGACCATTCCTTGGGTGTTTGTGATTGTTTAACCCCTTAGCTTGGACCCCTGCCTCTTCCAGCAGGCCCTTACGTGATAATTCTGGGGGCACGGGCTTGTCTTTGCTTTGTAATCTCCATTCCTCGTTAGGAGTCAGTGTGGACCAGCCAGGTACCTCTGAGCTTCCCCAGGGTCTTGGGGGAAGACAGCCCTCAGTGCTGAAAGGAAGTAGTGCACACTGAGAGGCAGTGAGCTCCCCACCACTTACAGGAGTGCAGCTGGGAGGTTGGACTGAAAGGTCTTTGGGGTCTCAAACTCGCTAGGTGCTGGGGTGGAAAAAGATTCTCATGAGACTCCCTGGGTTCTGGACACATCTGGATATGGAACCGTCACCCACTGCAGCCTTTCACCCTCCCCTTGCCACTGCTCTAGAAACACGTTGTGTTGGATGGAAGCGTTCACCACAGTCCCTGGCACCCGCACACGCCGGGCACTCATTTACTGAGTGAACAAACAAGAGGGTCGTGCAGTAGGGTCCTGCAGACCCTGGCTTGAATCCCAGCTCTCCCATTCTGACTGTGGGCTCAGCACCTTCGTAAACTCTGCACCTCAGTTTTGGCTTCTGTAGGAGGGGTGTCAT